AGAAACCATCTCATCAAAAAAAGCATGAGACCTGATATCTTCACTGTTGAGTTCTATCAAACATTTAAAGAATGAGTAATAATACTTCTCAAAAAGCTGAAGACTGATACTTCCAAATCTGTTTTTATGAGACTGGTGCTACCCCAAAAACCACATAAGAAACTACAGGGAAAGAAAAGTATGGGGCAATATCCCTGATGAACATAGATGGAAAAAAAAAGTTCAACAAAATACTAGCAAACTGTGTCCAACAGCACGTTAAAATAATCACTCATAGGATCAAGTGAAATTTATCCCTGGGATACAAAAATGGTTCAGTATAGGCAAATCTATAAATGTGAAATGCCACATTAGCAGAATAGAGGACAGACGCCTTTGATAAAATTTGTCATCTTTATATGAATCCATCTTGATCAACTTAGTATGGAAACAATGTATTTCAATACAATAAAGGCTACATGACAAGCCAATAGCTAACACCATATTCAATGGTGGAAAGTTGAAAGCTTATTCTTGTAAGATTAGGAACAAGATAACTGCCAATTCCATTAAATGTAGCACTAGAAGTCCCAGCCAGAGCAATTAGATAAGATAAAGAAAGAAAATACCTCATCACTGGAAAGAAAGAATTTAAATCATCCTGTGTACAAATGACATGATTCATTATAAAGGATAACATATTTAGAAATCCCTAAAGACTCCATGAAAAAACTACTAAAACTAGTAAGGGTATTCTGTAAAGTTGCAGGATACAAATCAATACACAAAAATCACCAGCAATTCTAAATACTTACAATGAACTATCTGAAAAAGAAATCAAGGAAACAAGCCATTCACAATGGTTACAAAAATACTTGGGGATAAATTAACCAAGGAGGTGGTAGACATGTACACTAAAAATTCTAAGACTCTGGTAAAAAAAAAATACAAATAAATGAAATAGGTCCTATACTGATGGATTGGAAAAATTGATATTGCTTGAATGTCAATACTATCCAAAGCTATCTACAGATTCAATGGAATCCCTGTCAACATTCTAAAGGCATTTTTCATAGAATTAGAGATTAAAATAAAAAAATATGGAATTACAAAAGACCCCAAATAGACAAAAACAAAAGAACATGGAAGTATCACATTACCTGATTTCAAAGTGTACTATAAAGATGTAGTGTTCAAAATACTGTCATAAAAACAGGGATATAGCACAGGGAGCACAAGAGAGATCAGAAATAAACACATACACTTACAGAAAATTCCCTGTGGACAAAGATGCCAAGAAAACACAATGGAAAAGGAGCATCTCTTCAACAAATGGTGCTGGGAAAACTGGTTATCCACAGACAGAAGAATGGAATTAGACCCTCACGTCATGTACAAAAATCAATTCAAAATGGATTAAAGATGTAAACCTATGACCAGAAACTGGAAAATTACTCAAAGAAAACTAAGGATAAAAGCTCCATGACACTGGTCTGAGCAATGGCTGCTTGAATCTGACCTCAAACTCACAGGCAACAAGAGCAAAAATAGACAAATGAGATTGCATTAAACAAAGAGGTTGTTTCATAGCAAAGGAAGCAATAGAGAAAAAAAGATAGCCTATGGAATGGTGGAAAATATTTGCAAGCCATAAGGGGCTAATATCCAAAACATACAAGGAACTCAACATAATAGCAAGAAAATAAATAGCCCAATTTTTAAAAATGGGCACACAGGACTGGGTGTTTGCCACAGGTTTCCTGGTGCTGGTTAGGACACTTGCATCCCATATCTGAATGCCTGAGTCCAAGTCCAGCTTCCTGTTAATGTGCACCCTGGGAACCAGTAGGTGATGGCTTAAGTAGTCGCAACCCCGCCACTCCTGTGGTAGATCAGGATTGAATTCTTGGCCCCCTGATGTCTAGACATTTCTCAGAAGGCATACAGATGGCCAATGAGTATCTGAAAAATGCTTAATATCATTCATCATCAGATAAATGAAAAACACAATGAGTTATTGACTCATCCTTGTTAGAATGACTTATCAGAAAGAGAAAAGATAACAAGTGCTTCTGAGGATGTGGTGAAAGGAGAGAACCTTGCCATGCTATAGGTGGAAATGTAGATAGTACAGCCACTATGGAATACCGTGTAGACATTCCTCAACAATGCTAACAATCACCACACAATCGAGCAGTACCACTATGGATATATATCCGAAGGACATGGATACTCCCAGAGTTCTTCCCTGCAACAGCCAGGATATGAAATCAATCTAAGTTAGATAATGTGAATGTGTCGTATCTACTCAAGGGAATACTATACATACCTACAAAAGTAAATCTTGTCAACTTGTAATGACATGGATGCATCTGGAGGACTTTGTGTCAAGTGAAACAAGCCAACTAAACGAGTTGAACTTTAGAAGGGAAGAGCGGAAGGGTGGCTACCAAGTGCAGGGGGCATGGGAGGTTGGCGAGATGCCTGCCAAGGAATACAGCATTTTGGTTAGGTCGAAGGAGCAAGTACATGAGCTCTATTGTAGAAAGGGACTGCATTTAACAGCACAGTATATTTTGAAAATTACTAGCAGAATCTAAGTATCCTTACCACAAAGAATGATAAATATGCAGGTATGCATATGCTAATTAGCTGAATTGAGCCATTCCACATTGAGTACATATTTTGACATGACATTGTACATGCAAATATATATAATTTTTGTCAATTCATTCAAAATAAAAGGCACAGAGAAATGATGGCAAATACTTTGCTGAATAAAAAGGAATCATGAAGTTAAAATGTTGGTCAAATTTCAGTATTTGGGGTTCCCACTAGTTGTTACTAAAATAAAATTTCTGTAACAATGTAAATCCTTATTGGAAATCTATTTCACATATTTTTCAATGCTTTGTCGTAATAGAGAAGAATTTCACCTCCAGAGACAAGATGGGGGTGGAGGTTGGCTGAGCAGAGAGAATCAAACCAATCCATTCCATTGAATTATCTGCTGTGGGCATCCCAGTTAACTTGTGTTTCATTTCATTCTCACTAGGGTTGATTCTTCTTTTTAATAAAGATTTTATTTATTTATCTGAGAGGTACAGTTACAGACAGAAGGAGAGACAGAGAAAAATATTCCATCCACTGGTTCACTCCCCAAATGGCCACAATGGCCAGAGCTGGGCTGGTCTCTCACATGGGTGCAGGGGCCCAAACACCGGGACCATTTCTACTGCTTTCTCAGACCGTAAGCAGAGGGCTGGATCTGAAGAGAAGCAGCTGGAACATGAACCAGCGCTCATACAGGATGCGCATAAGTGGAGGCTTAGCCCACTGTGCCATAACACCGGCCAAGGATTCTTACAGTCAATGTAGTCACCCCTGTGTTGTAACTGAGGATAGTGAGGCCACGATACTGATTTTCACCAAGGGTCACACAGAAGTGATGGAGCAAGTATTCAAACCAGTCTACTGGGCCCCAAAGCTTAAGCTCGTTCCTCAGCCCTTCCCTTCAGCCTCCACAGTGTCCTGGCACTCTGGTGGGGCTGGCCCAGGAGGAAGTTGAGGTCTGGTGAAGCCAGATGGGTCAATAAAAAGAGGAAGAGCCTCTCCTCCTGGAGTTTGGGGAAATTGGCTCATTACAAAACCTGCCCCAGGCTGAGCCACTCTCTGATCCTACCTCCTTCCTTCTTCCTATTAGAACGGGATTTCTCAGTGCTGGTTCTCTTGATGTGTTCGTCTGGCTAATTCCCATTGTGCGGGCTGTCCTGTGCTTTGTAGGATATTTAGCAGCATTCGCTGTCTCTATCCACCAGACACCAGCAGTGCGTCTCTCAACTTTCAACCATTAAACTGACATCCAGATATAGCCCAATGGTCCCTGGGGTGAGAGACGCACCCTGGTTAGTGCCTGCTGTTTCCTGCTGACCAACAAGCCCTGTTCGCCTGAGTCTAGGGGATTCACAAGAGATTCGGTGCTAAAACAGGGCCCTTTAGGGAGATGGGGATGATTGGTCACCCTACAAGTGAAGGTTTAATGAAGCTGTGTGGGTGGCAGGGGGTGGGGGTGGGGCTGGGAGTGGAAGCCCAGAATGAATGGAGGTGTTGGGGAGGGGCAGGCAGGTGGGAGGGTGCTGGACCCACAGAGAGCCTGTTGGTGCTGCTCAGGAGGGCAGTGTGCCCTGTGTTTACCCTGGGAGTTAATGGATACTGAATAGGGAGAGGGCTTTTAGCTCCTTGTTAACTCGGCCAATGCCTGTGAGCTACATGCATTATAATTTAGTTAGTATTTTGAAAAATTTTGCTAGTTTACCCTGATAACTTATCAAGGGCATTCTCCTGAGAGGACTTTGTGAAAGAAAAATCTCAAAAATGGGTTGCTAGCAGGATAATTTTGGTTGTGTTGCTGAGTAACTGTGTCGTAGCCATGAAAGATATTTTCACTCTTCAAAAGGCACTTCCGAAGTATCTGTCCTCCAGCCTTCTGAGTTCAGTGTCATTCTTATGCCTCTACGGGATGAAGACAGTCGAGTTCTGAAAAGAGCAAGAAACGTGCTGCGAGGTCCGATGGCGGATCCGAGTCTGGATTGCTGGGCCCTGAGTCCTGGGACCTGCCTACTCCACCAGGCTCTGGGGCAGTAGGGGTTGCATGTCGGTGCTGAGTCTGCTGTGAATCAGCTCCATCGCCTGTGGCTGACACTGGCCCTGCCCCTTCTCGGTCTTGCAGCAGGCTAAGCAGGCTCCATGAGGGCAGTGCCGGAGTCCCGCAGTTAGCAGGTGCTAAGGCATTGGCCCTACTGATATCTGCGTGCACCTTCCTCTGTGCTCTTTGACACAGGTGTGGAGGGTGTGATTTGCTGTAGATAATTGTTTGCATTTTTCTCCATTACATAAGCCAGCAGCTTTTGCCAGGAACTGTCTGTGCCCTGAAGATCCAAACTGGTTGCCTCTGATTGGCTGATTTTGTTTCATTTTATTGGGAGGCGTACCTTTCAAGTTCCAGAGTGGTGATAACTACCAGTCTCTCTCTCTCTCTCTTGGAGTAAGGTACCTGGAGTTCAGGGACCCCAGCCGGTGACAATGACAGCTGATGAGTTGGTTTTCTTTGTGAATGGTAGAAAGGTAAGCAGGAGCTGACCTTTGGCCTGTTGTTCCTGGCCCCCTGAGAGGGGAGGCTTATACCATGGGAGAGGCATGTCTGGTTCCCTCTCTGTCCTGTTTCCTCTCACTGGGCTCGCTCTCTCTCTCTCTCTCTCTCTCTCTCTCTCTCTTTCCCCTTCTCCTCCTCCTCCTCCTCCTCCTCCTCCTTCTCCCTTCAAAGGTGCTGCTGCATTTTGGTAACGCTGGGGAAAGAAGAGCTTCTCAAGGCCAGAGCCCAGGCAGGTGCTCCATGGGCAAACGAAAGAGAGAGGCATCTGTGAGCTTGCTGCTGGCTGCAGTAAGCAGACCCTGGCACAGAGTGAGAAAGGGAGACGGAGTTCTAGTTGAGAGGGGAGGCCACTCCTCACATTCCATGCTTCATCGAAGATGTCTAAATTCTTTGCTCCTCTCTCTCTCTCTCTGGAACGGAGTGAGTCTTCTTGTTAGTATCAGGAGATAAGACATAGCTGTGATTTTGATGTGTTATTTGTATAGGTGTAACTGCTAGTCCCCATTTACTGTGTGGGGACATATACTGACACCTTGTGGTGAGCCACAATTTTTTGCATAGAACACACATCCTCTTCTACCCACCACCAACCCATCCATTGGACTTAATGCTACATTTAAGTATTGCAAATCTCTTTCCCACTTGGGTTAACTTTAAAAAAAAAAAGATTTATTTGATTTATTTGAAAGAGTTACATAGACAGAGAAGGAGAGGCAGAGCTAGAGAGAGAGGTCTTCCATCTGTTCGTTCACTCCCCAATTGGCTGCAACGACCCGAGCTGTGCCGATCCAAAGCCAGGAGCCAGGAGCTTCCTCCAGGTCTTCACATGCAGGTACAGGGGCCCAAGGACTTGGGCCATCTTCTACTGCTTTCTCAGGCCCTAACAGAGAGCTTTAGAAGTGGAGCTGCCAGGACTCGAACCAGCCAGTGCCCATATGGGATGCCGGCACTGCAGGTGGCAGCTTTACCCGCTACGCCACAGCGCCAGCCCTGGGTTAACTTTTTCAAAACTCTAGGGCAGATGGCAGAGGTACGAGCCAGTCATTAGGACAGAGCAAGGGTGAGATTGTGCAGTTTCATGCAAGTGCAGGGAAAGAGAAGGCAAACATATTATGTGTTTCTGGCCTTCCCGTGGCCCTCTGACCCCCGTGCTGGGAGGCACACCTCTGCTTCAGCTCAGTTCTGTTTGGGATTGAGAGGTATGGCAAAAGGGTCACCATATTTGTTCCAGTGTAATTGGCCATAGGGATAGTATGAGTGACAAGTGAGCCCCCTAAGAAGGGCACTGAGTTGAGTGAGTTTCTGAAGTGATTTCCAAGAACACACTGGGCAACGGGGTCAGCTGCATTTCTTCTGGTCCAGAGTTCTCTGCGCTACTTCCTCTTCAGGGTTGACAGGTGGCACCAACCCAAGAGGGCAGGCAGAGCTTTCAGGTGACGAAATCAGACTCTCAGTTCCAACGTCTCGCCTTCTTTGCGGCCAGCAATTCTATCAGAGCGCTGTAAGAAGCAGCTGCCACGCTGGCTTTCTAGAGATGCTACTTACACAAAGACATCTTCTCTGTAGTTTTTTTTTTTTTTTTTGGGGGGGGGGAATTCTTATATTCAGTAAGCAGCCAGTCAGTGACTTCCAAGGCTGCGTCTTACGCTAAGGTTTTATTATTGATTAAGCCATCAGCTCGTGGGTGAGAGTGTAAGTTCCAAGGAGCATTTCAAGGTACATCTGGCTTGCTGGAAATGGGTTGCCCTTGAATGTTATTGTCACTTTAGGAAAGCGATTTGCCAGTTTTAAATGGTACCATCGTAGCAAACGCTGCTCTCTCTCTGGAAGCGTCCAGCAATGCCGGGTTCCATGGTGAGCAGCCACATCTGCATTGGAGGAAGATGTAGGCTCTGGAGAAATTGCTGGACATGTGGGGGAGGCAATGCAGAGCACTGATGTGACAGCAGGGCCTTAGACAAGACCCAGCAAGGGAATTCCTTGCAAATAAAGGCAGCAGGAAGTTTCCTCCTATTTCTAGTCTCAAGATGTTCTAGACCTTTTATGAAAGGATATTGTGCAAATAAGTCATCAAAAAAGAGCTGTGGTTTTTTGTTTTTTTTTTTTTTTTTTTTCTTTGTTTTTTTTTGTTTTTTTTGACAGGCAGAGTGGACAGTGAGAGAGAGACAGAGAGAAAGGTCTTCCTTTGCCGTTGGTTCACCTTCCAATGGCTGCTGTGGCCGGCGCGCTGCGGCTGGCGCACCGCGCTGATCCAATGGCAGGAGCCAGGTACTTATCCTGGTCTCCCATGGGGTGCAGGGCCCAAGCACCTGGGCCATCCTCCACTGCACTCCCTGGCCACAGCAGAGAGCTGGCCTGGAAGAGGGGCAACCGGGACAGAATCCTGCGCCCCAACTGGGACTAGAACCCGGTGTGCCGGCACCACAAGGCGGTGGATTAGCCTAGTGAGCCACGGCGCCGGCCCAAAAGAGCTGTTAAAACGTGGTAACTCATTCTCAAATGTGAGCTTCCTACTCCTTGTTTCGTTGTTCTGCTGGGGACTCTGTGCCCATTAGCTGGGGTGCTAGAGAGGGTAGGAGATGCAAACGAATCCAGTGCCTGTGAGGTGCTCCATGGTGGCACTGCTGTCTAATTTTCATATTGTTTCCTGCTCTCAAGTCAGAGTCAGAGGGAAAGAGTTGTCCAGGGTTTGACTGACTGATGATGTGTAAGACTCATTTTTGGGGTGCACACTGTAATGCAATGTTTGTGTGCAAAGTCTAATAGTCAACTCAGGACAGTTAGCATTTCTTCTCAAATGTCATGTGTGTGTGGTAAGAGCCTTCAAACTCCTCGAATTATTTTGAAATATGGGATGCCAGCGTCGTGGGCAGAGGCTTAACCTACCATGCCACAGCACCAGCCCCTACTCTCTCTGCTTCCAAGTGATTGACATTTTTAGCTTCTACATGTGAGTGAGAACATGGGATACTTGTCTTCCTGTGCCTGGCTGATTTCACTCAACACAATGTACTCCAGTTCCATTCAGTTTCTGCTAATGATGGGATTTCATCATTTTTATGGCTGAATGATATTCCACTGTGTATATACACTGCATTTTTAAGAACCCATTCATCTGTCAGTGGGCATCTGGGTTGATTCCAAGCCCTGGTTTTTGGAAATAGTGCTGTAATAAAGAGGGGTGTGCAGGTAACTCTGATAGAAGGATTTCATTTCCTTTGGATATACATCCAGTAGTGAGACTGTTGGATCATTTCGTGGTTGCATGTTCAGTGTTTTGAGGAACCTCCATACTGTTTTCCATAGTGGCTGTGCTAATTTTCATTCCCACCATAGAGTGTGCAGAATTCTTCTTTCTTCGTATCCTCACCAGCATGGGTTACTTTTGGTCTTTGTGATAATAGCCACTCTGAGTTGGGCGAGATGCTATCTCCTTGCGGTTTTCATTAGATGATCTGATGATGGTCTTGTTGACATTTGACAGCTGTCAGGATTGTTAGCATTGTAGCGCTACCCCTTTTGGAGGCCAGTTTCCTGGGCAGCCTTGCTCCCTCTGTTTCAGCGGAGACTGGGAGGATCTGGCTCTCAAGGGTGCTGAGGAAGGTGTCTGGGAGTGATTCCCGCCACCAGCAGGGGTCAGCTACAGAGTGCTGCAGTGGCTTTCCCTCACCCCTCATTCACTCCTATGGCCAACACTTGCCACGCTCCTTCTGAGGCCTAGGGCTGTGGAATGAGCCCTGGAAGAATACGGTCTTTAAGATCAAGCATTTGCCATTTGGGAGTCTATGGACTAGTTGGAGAAGTGAATTATGATTAGGCAAAATGATACATTCCAAAATGTCTTTTACAGAATACTAGCCCCATGGGATACTCTGCATATTCTTTTTTAAAAAGATTTCCTTTATTTATTTGAAAGACTTACATAGAGAGGGAGGGAGGGAGTGGGGGAGAAAGAGAGAGAGAAACTGTCTCTTATGTGTATTAGGTGCCCAGATAATACAGATGTGACTCATAGATGAATATTAAAACCCCTGAGGAATTCTGCACTAAACAAATCTGTTTGTATTTTAAAATTATTGTATGCTTACAGAACACCTGCTAGGAGAATTCAAAAAAGATGAAATAGCCTTTGCCTACATTCATCAGCTATAATATTTTGTCATAGTTGTTTTATCATGTGCATACATACATATATAAACATACATACATGTGCATATATAAATGTATGTATACATAAAGAGATGCACATATATAAATTATATAAATACTTTTATATACTTATTTAATTATTATTTTTAAATATTTGTTTTATTTATTTGAAAGGCAGAGTTTCAGAGAGAAAGAGAGAGAGAGAGAGATCTTCCATCCTCTGGTTCACCCCCCAGATGGCCTCAATGGTTGGGGCTGGGCCAGAACGAAACCAGGAGCCAGAAGTTTCATCTGGATCTCCCATGGGTGCAGGGGCTCAAGGACTTGGGCCATCTTCCACTGCTTTCCCAGGGATGTTAGCAGAGAGCTGGATCAGAAATGGAGCTGCCGGGACTTGAGCCCATGTGGGATATCAGCATCGCAGGTGGTGGCTTAACCTGTTTTGATCTGTTATGCCACAACGCTGGCCCCTATGAAGATATTCTTAGAGAACCACATTCCTTTATAAAATCCAGGACATTTAACTTTAATATAAATGCAACTATAGATTTATGCAAAATTATTCCAATTTCCCCAGTAATTTCACTGATACTCACCCCCTGCCCCAACCCAGAACCTAGGGTCCTGCCCTACCGTTGGCCGCCATGTCATGATCGTCTACTCCAGTCTGAGACAGCCCTTCGGCTCTCCTTTGTCTTTTGGGACACTGATGTTTCTGAAGAGAAAGGCCAGGCAGTTTTCAGTGTGTCCCTCATTTTGCGTTGGTCTCATGGTTTCTTGTGATTAGGTTCTGAGTCTGCCTTTCAGGCAGGACTGCCTCCAAGCAGCGCATCTGAACCTGGTGCATTCTGTTGGGCGGCACAGGAGGTCAGTCTGGTCCACTGTTAGTTACGAGAACTGTGGTCCCTTGGAGAAACTGCTGTCCTTCTTCATAGTAAAGGAGCATTGACATGGTAGATTACATATCAATTACATATTAAAGAGTTTGGATGCTTGGGTTTTGCTAGAGCAGTCTGCTTAACCCAACCTTTCCTAAACCCACTTCCCCATGAAGCACCTTTCCCTGGGAACACCAACTGGCATCCTGGAAGAGAACATTCCACAGAGCACACTGGGCAAGCCCTACAGCCATTCTCCAGGAGTGGTGCAGAGATTCTTGGAAGGAATTCAAGGAAAGGTGGCTCACCTGTGGCTGGGTGATATGGAAGCCTTTACTGGGTGATATTTGGGGTCTTCGGATGCAAGAAGCAGGTGGGAGAGGAATGACCTGTGCAAAGGCCCAGGAGATGGAGAAGATAAGATGTATCATCGATATAAGCTGACCAGGTTGGGGTGGGTGTTTGGGACAGTGATTAAAATGCTGCTGAGGGTGCCCACATCCCCTGTCAGAATGCCCCTGTTTGAGTGTTGGCTCTGCTTCAGGTGATGGTTCAAGTTGTTGGATCTCTACGTGGGAGGCCTAGCTTGAGTTCCAGGCTCCTGGTGTCAGCCTGGCCCAGCCCCACCTGTTGTGGGCATTTAGGGGAATGAACCAGCAAATGGAAGATTTATCTCTATCTTTCTGTGTGTGTCTCCCTCTCTGTCTGATCCTCTCTGTCTCTCTATTCCCCACTCTTTCAAATAAAAGGAAAATAAATACATGAAAGAAAAAAACAGAAGACAGGTTTGGCAGGGAAGTGGGAGGAAGAAAAACTAAAAATGGAGTTGGGAACATATTGAAAAGGGCCTCTGAAAAAACCGGCCTCAGGAACTAGGCTGTTCCCTCGAGTACGTGGGAGGTCCCGGAAGGCACTGAGCAGGGCAATGATAGGGCGCAATGCAAGCAGCACTGTGGGACGGGGGGAGGAGCAGCAGGGCAGGGGAGCAGTGAGCTACAAGGCTCCTACTGTCATCTGCTGCACAGGTGAAGAGGGTCCTGGTTTTGTGCACTTATGATTTCTTCTGCAGGATAACATAAGGGTTTCCTTCTGTGAACTGTGTCATCTGGGTATTGAATGAGCTGACTTATATATAAGCTATGTATATATGCCAAAACCAGCTTATTCAATATCTAGATTCTATCTCCTGTTTCCCTTTAAAGCACTCAAAGGGCAACTGACAGTTTCGTGAGCTTTTTGTTTAATCTTAGTTGATAAAATCTCCTAGGTTATCATTAAGCAGCCCAACAGTCCCAATGTCGGTGGCATGGTGAAAGCATTGAGACCACTTACCCCGCTGGTACTGTTGACGTTGGCTTCTGGCTTTCTGGGCCTTTCAGGCGTTTGGAACCAACCCTGTTCTTCCCCTGAGGATGGCCACCATAGGGGACACTTGATCGTACATCCCCGGCTGGAGTGAGGAGTTTTTATCCCCTAGTCTCTCATTTTGGATGGTCCAGTCTACATACTCTGTGCTGGGAGCTGGGACTCATCAGCTGCTGAGGCAGTCCTCTTGAGAATGGTTCAAATGCCTTCATCCAGCTCGCTCACTCTTGGACAGCCTCTACTCTGTCCTGGCCAAGGCTTCCCTAAGTGTTTGCATTGGCAAACGCCAGGGCTATGCTCCAACCCCAACTCTGCCGCATCTACTCAGGTTTAAGTAGGCATTTAAACTTACCATTGTTAATTTTTTTTTCTACAGGCAGAATGGACAGTGAGAGAGACAGAGAGAAAGGTCTTCCTTTTCCATTGGTTCACCCCCCAATGGCTGCTGTGGCTGGCACACCACGCTGATCTGAAGCCAGGAGCCAGGTGCTTCTCCTGGGCTCCCATGCAGGTGCAGGGCCCAAGGACTTGGGCCATCCTCCACTGCACTCCTGGGCCACAGCAGAGAGCTGGCCTGGAAGAGGAGCAACCAGGACAGAATCCAGCGACCATTGTTAATTTTTTGAAAATATTTATTTGAGAGGTAGAGAGAGAGTGTGTGAGAGTTAGAGTTCTCATCCATTGGTTCACTTCTCAAATGCCCACCAAGTCCCAGGGGGCAGAAGCTGGGAGCTGGGAACTTAGACTAGGTTTCCTATATGAGTGACAGGAACCCAATTACTTCGAGCCACCACCACTTCCTGCCAGAGTCTTCATTAGCAGGAAGCTGGAGTCAGGAGCTGGAGCTGGGAATTGAACACAGGTCTTCCAATGTGAGACATGGACAACCTAATTGGACAACCTAATCTTACCTGCTAGCCCAAATGCCTGCCCTTGTTGTTAGTTTTGAATTTTAGGTTAAGCCTATGAGTAGTAGTTGAGTTACACCAGACCACTATATATCCCCTATACTGCAAGAGTGTGTGTTAGCTTGTGTGTAGTACAAAGGAGACCCCCTCACTAAGTTGGAAACATGAGGCAGATGCCTTCTCCCCTCCCAGCTTAGGGAGATGTGACACTCCTAGTACAGTTTTCTGTAAAGAAATCTATCATAAATTCTCTTCCCTTAACCATCCCAGTAACCCTTAGCCTGAGAGCCTTTGTATGCACAGGGAGTGGTGAAATAGGTTTCATAGAATTCCTTTGATAATTTGCATTGGGAACTAGCACCTCACTGTAGACAACATTTTTACCTCACTGAACACACGGCTGGATCTTTGGTTTGGGATTTCTCCTCCATTTCTGACGAGTGTTAATGTTGTTGACTTGACAGCCCATCACATGCAATACTCCGCCATGAGCACAGGCCATGGGACTGGCTTCTGCAGTCACCTACAGGGCCCTCTCAAGGAGGCCAACCGTATGGTGACACAGTGAGCTATGCTGCCAACTGTGACGCTGGCATTCCATATCAGAATACCATTTGAGTCCCTATTGTCTACTTCTGATCCATCTCCCTGCTAAAATGTCTGGGAAGGCAGCAGAGGATGGCCAAGTACTTACTCCCCTGCCATCTATGTGGGAGACCCAGATGGAGTTCCTGGCTCCTGGCATCAGCCTGGCCCAGCCCTGGCCATGAGGCCATTTGAGGAGTAAACTAATGGATGTAAGATCTCTCCCCTCTGCCCCTATAATGCTGCCTTTCCAATAAATAAATTGATAAATATTAAAAAATCACTGGAGGCTAAGCCAGAGCTACATGCTGATCCTGTTGGCAGTCCCTGGGATTTGCAGGTGTGGTCCATCAGCAGACATGTTTGACTTGAAGGGGCCTTGGTCTTGGTCAGTCCAGCAGGGCTGGTGCAACACTACAGTATTCTGTGCTGGGTCTAGATCTGAACCCCAAGGTTGAAGTTTAGCATTTAAAGGTAGGAACACATGCACAGCCTGCTGTATGGTTCTTATGTTCATTCTTAAGGACTTGCCTAGAAAAATGCACAAGTTTCATGATCATTAACTCTGTAAGTTCTTGAGTAAGACACTGAAGGGGGACATCGAGGATGGCTAAGTATACTCACGATATGCTTTGCTTCTGTTTTCTTTTCTTTCTTTTTTTTTTAAATAGGTAGTGGAGAAAAATGCAGATCCAGAAACAACGCTTTTGGCCTACCTGAGGAGAAAGTGTATCCTGCCTCTGGAGTGGGAGTGAGGGGGAGGGGTGACAGGGACTCAGCCTCATTTCCTAACGACCAGGGTGGCCACAAAACGTGGAGGAATAGGAAGGTGGGCACTTGCATGTGTCATGGCAGCTGTGTCACTCTGTGGCTCAGCCACCCAGTCGTTTCAGCTCCCTAGATCTGCAATTTCCAGCGACCACATGAGCGGATTGTTCCTGATGCTCTTTAAGATCCTTTGCGGCTAATGCTGGCAAAGCCAAGGTTTATTCATGAGCCATTGGACAACCCCTCCTTAGCCCCGGTGAGCTTCTGGTCCTTGTCCCTTGGGAAGAGTGGAACCTGCCTTAGCTCCCATTTGCTTAACACAGAGATGGACTTCCTCGGGGACAGTCCAGCTCTGTCTTGGTGGAGGGTGACAGGGAAAGGGCTGCGGCAGGAATGGTGTAGAGGCACCATCTGCTGTGGAGACCCTGGGAGGCCTCAGGGGACCAAGGGCCCCTCAGAGGGACCTGGGTTCCTCTCTTCACTCAAGATCCCCAGTACCTTTGGTCCTTTCAGAGTGTGAAAGCGTCAGAGACTGGGAACAAAAGTTCAGTGTGATTTGCGTAGCTTATCTCACTTAATCCCCATAGCAACTGCATGCAAGTGTAATGTGTAATCCTCCCAGTATTGGTGGGGGAGGAAGTGAGGGCTGGCCCTGTCAAGTGACCTTCCTTTGCTGGCACATTTTGGGCGAATTGTGTCCGGGCCTGGACTAAAGCCTAGAGCCCTGCCCCTGACCTCTCATCCATGCTGGGAAACCTCCAGGGGTCTGTTGCCAGGGCTCTACCCCTCGTGACCTCATCTAGGAAGCCGCCTTGCTTACAGAGGGACGAAACATATTTGGGGACAGCAAAGGAGTCTTTCAGCCCCTGAAGAAGTGAGAGTTAGCTCAGGACAGCAGGTTTTGACCTGGGCTGGACCTGTCTGGAGGCTCACGGCAGGGGAAGCTGGTGGCCTTTGGGCACAGGAAGTGTCACAGCCTAGGCAGGATCTGGGGGAGGGCACAGGACTCCCTTTCTCTCACCCACTGACCTGGGAGGGCTGGGAAGAGACACTCATTCTCCAAGATTGCTGAGATCAATTTTTATTTTAAAAACTGAAACTGATTATAGTGTTTGAACAGTTTTGATTTTAGTCTTGAAGACCTGCAAGCCTCAGAAATTCCTTATCATAGCAATTGGCTGCTCAGAAGGTCAAAGCTCAAGTGCAATTCCAAATTGAGAGTTGGCATGGACCCGGGAGATCCAGGCAGCTTACTCTTCCCTGTGCAGAGAGTGCATCCGTGGGGATCCCAGTGAGAGAGGAGACCCCTGCCATGAGTGCTGCCTGGCTTCGGGCAGCTGCCACCAATCATCCTTCAGTGCCCCAGCGATGAACTGCCTGCAGCCTGAAAAACCAACAAAACAAAACCTAGGGCATAGAAAGTCCTCCCTAGGTGTGCCTGAGGGGGCAGCCTGGAGAAGGGGTACACACCCAATCTGGGGTCAGATGACTGTGCTGGGCCCCAGCTCCAGGGCGACTGGCATTCCTGTGTTGTGGTACTCAGATTACCTCTTAGGTCTCTGCTTTTGTGGGGAAATAGTTGCTGCCCCACCTGCTAATCCAATTATCATGCAGATCGCACAGGCTCCGTGAGGCTATTCCAGGGTTAGATGCCCGATCACTGTTAGCTGCTAAACTTTATCTTGAAAATGAGGGACCTGACCCTGTGATAGTAACCTCCGTCTTCAGAGGGGACCGGGGGACTTTGGGGAGTGAAGGAGTGACCAACACCACTGCTGTTCTCTGGAATAGCCTATCAGTTAGGCTCCTGTAAAATCGCAAAGCATCAGAGTTTCTCTCTGCAAGTCCATGTGTGTGACAGTTGGGCTGGATGTTGGTCCTTGACCACAAAAACAAGAATCTTGATTTTAATTTCCATTCACGTTTCCCTTGAGCTGGATATTCACAAGCCCCCGATCCAGCCCTAATTTTGCGTTCTGGGACCTTGTTAGCCCCAAAGGGTTAGGGTGAAAGCTGAGACTCAGGGAGTCACAGAAAGGATGGCTGTCCCCTTCTGTCCCACGTGGCTTCACCACATGCCCAGTGTGGGAGAGGTGGTGAGCTGTCCCCCTGGCTCAGCCTTTGGGCCGTGTGACTTACCTGCCCAAGGGCATCACAGCTCCCCGAGAGGAGTCTCCAGGCTGCTGGGTCCCAGGGGATGCTACTTGGGTGCTGTGTGATGGGACCCTGAAGCCTGTGCTGGTCTGTGCGGGGGAGATGGCCCTGTTCTCTGCCCTCTGGTAGGTGGTACGCCTCTGAATGAGCAGGCCTGCATATCTGCTGCCTCCCCAGGTTGACAGCTCTGAGCCTCAGTGTGGGAATGGCTGAACCCACATCACCCTTCCAGGCACAGCCCAGCAGTCTCCTTTTCCAGAATCCACTTTCCTTAACTTGACCTCCCAGTGGGGCTGAGCGGGACCAAGCTTGGCTGTGGAGAAGGGGGCTGTGGTGCTTGCACGGTGATGCTGTCCAAGTATGATCATCTCCAGAACAAGATTGTGTATCCTTTGTCTGCTGGTGATGGCCCATGTGAGAACCCGAACGCGGGGTCAGCTTGTGCATGAAAGAGTATGCGTGTGTGTATGTGTGTGCATGTGCACCTTTGGGGGAGCCCCTGTGTTTCTGAGCAGGTTCAGGTCATAGGGAAACCGAAGAATGACATCCTAGAAGGTGTCTGCCTGGTTTATGAGCACTGATCAGACTCTGAACTGCTGACACAGTGATCTCTGAAATCCTGGCTCATATCACACCCCATAATATCTTCCCATAACTCTCCCTTGCCCCCAGCATAAAGTCCATGCTCTTTGCTTAGCAGGCAAGGTCCTTCACAGCATGCCCCAGCTTTCCTCTGATGGCTACCTCATCCTGGGCCGGCGCTCATTCCAGCAGAGGCACCTGTGTACTACTGCTGTCCATGGCCATTCATCCATGGTCTTGTTGTAAGCTGATTCCTAAGTCTTGAATGTCCCTTCTCCTAGGATGTCTCCGCCTGGCTAACTCCCACTAGCTCTTTAGGACTGGGGCAAACTAGTGCCTGCTCCAACAGGCTTCCTTGACCACCCAACACTGAGTTAGGTGCCCCTTGCCTGTGCTGGTCCCAGAGAACCCTGTGCACTGCCCCCCTGAATCATTTACCAGAAGATGCTCAAGTGTGAGGTTGGCACTCGGCAGTGGATGCTGACTGTTGAGCGAATGAGTGATAAACAAAGGAAGGGATGAGAGGAAGTTCTCTCTAAGGGATTGATGTGTGTCTCAGGCTCCCCAGGGTCTCCCTCCCGCCCTCCCTCCATAGACGAATGGGAGAAATAGAGGTGGACGAATGCAGGGAAGCAAAGGTGACTGCAGGTTCTGACACTGCAGAGGCTGAGGAAGAGTGCTGTGGAGACAGGAGAGTGCTTCAAGGCTTCAGCCTGCCAGAAGCTACTACCCCCTCAGCCTCCCAGGGCCAGGCTGAGTGACAGGCAGCTGAATGTGACCCTGGCTTCCTTTGCCACAGCTCAGAGGCTGAAGGTGTATGGATGCCTGACCCTGCAGGACTCTGGAGGAGCTCAACCTCACCTGGGCAGAGTTTCCCTTGTTCCTTGCCTAGAGCCATAGGTGGAGAGGTGAGGGCACCAGTAGATGAAACAAGAACATAAGATGGAGAGAAGACGCAACAGAAAGTCCCACTAAGTCCCCTGACCCTGCCCTGTTCCCATGACCTGAATGGACAGTGGAATGGCCTTAATCTGGGATCCTAGCCACTTTTCAGCCAATGCCTGCTTGGCACCCATCTGTTCCTTGCACCATGTTGCTGTGACAACTGTGGAAGGCATAGGAAGCACCAAGACCAGGCTGCACCCTGTGCAGGTAAGCAGAGGAGGGAGCCGTGCCCTGGAGCTCAGGCTGTGTGCTCACTTTAGGTGGCTGGGCAGCAGGTCACTGGCTGGGGTGCTGGAGGCTTTGTGTCCTGGCCACTTCCCCACATCCCCTGGGAGCTGTCAATCAGAAAGAGAAGGCATCCAGGCCCCAAGCTGCCTTCTATGGCAGAGGTCAGTATAACATTGCATGACCCCAAGAGGTCAAGTGGATCTGGTGGACAGGGCGATCAGCTGACCTTGAACTGCAAGGAGCAGTGGCTGGGGAGCTCTTCGTGGTTCCTGAGTGTGCTGAGGGACCCCCAACCTCCCAGTTTCTGGGTCCACATTCTCTATTCCCCTTGATTTTTTTTTTTAAGATTTATTTACTTCTTTGGAAGTCAGAGTTACATACACACACACACACACACACACGGGGGGGGGGGGCATCTTCCATCCACTGGTTAACTCTCCAATTGGCTGCAATGGCCAGAGCTGCACCAATCCAAAGCCAGGAGCCAGGTGCCTCTTCCTGGTCTCCTATATGGGTGCAGGGGCCCAAGGATTTGGGCCATCTTCCTACTGCTTTCCCAGGCCATACCAGAGAGCTGGATTGGAAGTGGAGCAGCCGGGACTTGAACCGGTGCCTATATGGGATGCTGGCCACTGTAGGCAGCAGCTTTACCCACTAGGCCACAATGCTAGCCCCTCCCCTTGATTATTAAAAAAAAAAAAAAAAAACCACCAGCTCTCCAGTGATTCCTCTTGAACCCTTCCCCTCCCACCATCAGATCATGCAAATGTGGATTTCCAGGCCACCGCCCTCATTGAAGTGAAGATTAGTGCCTAATAAGATTGCAGACAGCCGAGTGCCTGACCAAGGTTTTCTCCCTGACGGTATCAGAGCCCCTGGTCGTAGAGAGAAACCATGAACCCTTGGGCAGTGGAGGGCATCAGAACACTCCCTGGCCAAGAGGAAACAAGTGGGAGCAGAGCACGGTGGGCAGGGAAGACCACTGCTCCCAACCCTTCAGGTTTGGGACAGCTGAGGAAGGACCATGGCTGAACTTGTCCGCCCTGCAGGAGGAATGAGAAGCTTCGTCAGGACTTGTCATTTTCTCTGAAGCAAGCGCATGGGTGGCTGAGACAGAGGGATTAGGTCTGCGTGGCCAGTCTGAGAGCCCTCCCTTTCCCATGGGGCAGCTCCTATTCCTATAGCACTTACTTGGGTGCCCCATGATCTGCAGAGGCAGTGTTTCCGTTCTTGTCCCCCACAACCCATCCGCACTCAGCAGACAGCATCAGTTAGAGCATGTACCCTCCTGCTGAGAATCCCCGAAGGGTTTCACATCACAACCAGAACAAAACTGAAGAGCCCGGCCATGGCTTGTGAAGAGAAGCTTCCTTCCCCACCCAACTCCTTTGGCCCAAGTGGGGTTCTGTCCACGGTCCAGCGTGCCAGACCGGTTCTGTCCTCAGAGCTTTCTCCCTTGCTATTCTCTCTGCCTGTTACATCCTCTTCTCTGAGCTGTGTCGTGTTCCTGATTTGGTCTAAATGCTCTCTTCTGGGGCCTTTTCTGACTGCTCTGTCATGTTGGATCATGTCCTTGTATACACATTCTCTGCTTAGCACTGATTTCTACCTGACACTTCCTTGTTTATTTTTGTCAGTATTTTCCCTGCTAGAATGACTGACTCATGAGATTGGAGACCTCATCTCTCCTTTTCACGTCTCTGTGCCAGCACCTTACAAAGCCTGATGCAAAATTGGTTCCCAGTAAATATTTATAAAATCAAGGGCTATAGATATGTATTTACTTAACTAAGTTTGAAGAGAGGCTCCCAAGAGACAAAAATAAAAAGCATTGTGGATGAAAAGAATTCCCTTGCAAAAAAAAAAGTCTTTTGGCTTTGAATGAAAATTTTGTGACATTCAGTGCACCTATTAAATTCTGACACATCTCCTCTTATTTCCCCACTGGGCTTCGAGGGTTGCCTTAACATAAGAAAGCAGGAATACAACAATGCTCTCGTGTGGAATGAAATATATTCTGTGGGTGCTTCCTAAATGCCAGCTGAGGCCAAGTGCAAGTAGCACAGTTCAAGGAACAATACACAACTCTCTCTTCTGTTCGACATGTATGGTTTCGGGCTGAATTCCCTGAGCCTGCTTCTTCCTCTGCTAACTTGAGTGTCAGAAGCTTCTCCTTGCTTCTAATTGTCTCTATCACTTAAGGGGGTCTTTCCCCTGACAGCTAGCATTGATCAGCTACCAGCCATATGCCAGGCATAATGCTGAATTTTATGTGGCTCTAAAGGTGAGCCCTAGGATGGTCTCCATCACACAGACAAGGAACCTATGGCTCAGAAAGGCTTGGAACCTGCCACTGTCCCCCACTGCACCTAGAAGGGGCTGACAGAAGCCTGCAGGGCCCCTGGGAGAGGTTTGCCAACCCCGTGTCTATGCCATCTGTCCCCTTTAGGAGAGAATTGCCAAGAGCCATGGCTCCCAGTGTGGATTTTGCACCCCTGGCATCGTCATGAGTATGTACACGCTGCTCCGGAACCAGCCTGAGCCTACGATTGAGGAAATTGAGAACGCCTTCCAAGGTACAGCTCAGGAGGGGGAATGGCAAACAGTGCCCGGTGGGGGTCAGGACAGGGTCAGGGTAACAGCTGTGGGGGTGGCCCTTTGGAGGAAAGGTCAGACCACCCCAGTGTGGCAGCTGACACCCACTAGGAAGTTAGTCCTGTATTAGTTTGGAGGACTCCCGTTTGGCTTGGAGGCCTCCTGGGACATCTTATCTTTGCACTTATCTTCCTGGCGTGTGCCTTCGCATCCTTCCCCATCATTGGGCTGGGCTTGGTGATTGGCAGCTGGCACCAGAGATCATCTGGGGACTCCAGAGAGGCTGCTCAGATGGCTTCCTTCCCTCTCACCTTCCATCCAGAATAGGATTTTGCTGGGCAAAGACCATGCATGTGGAAGTGGCCAGGATTCTGAGGCATTGGCTAGGACTGGCTTCCCATTTCACCTCCTGTGAACAGGCCCAGGAGCCGGTACCTTGTGCCTGCTCCTCAGAATTGAATACAGAAGGCTCTCTGTCCATGCCCCATTTCACCCGGCCATTACTCAATTGGTTATTTTGCATCCTGTTTTATGTCAGGTGCTACATCAGCTGTTAGGGACAGAGGATGAAAAACACAGTCCTTACTCTCAGAGGGGTGCATACTCTTGGGAATCCATCATGCAGTTTGATAAGCTCACTGGCAAAGGTATGACCAAGCACCAAGTGAGCGCTTGGGAGGGATCCCTGGCCCAGTCTGTGCATTCTAGGAGGGCTTCCTGAAAGAAGTCCTGATACAGGCTTTGAAGGTAGGAAGAGCAAAGGGGACCTGCCAGGTAGAGGAAGCAGAGCATACAGAGGCAGGGTGGTAAAGGGAGTGCCAGACTGGGCTGGGAAAAAGTCACAAGGCCCTCAGCTGCCCCAGGGGCCGGCACTGATATCACAGCTTTGTCGTTGACCCACAGGAAACTTGTGCCGCTGTACAGGCTACAGACCCATCCTCCAGGGTTTCCGGACCTTTGCCCAGGTAAGTGGAGGCCCCAGAAGAGCAGTGGCCCTGCCCTTCCTGGGGGAATCACACTTGGGAGGGATGCCGAGGGCCTCTTGCCGAAGAGGGTCAGCTAATGCGTCCTCCTACTAGGGAGTGGCCTTGCCATTCTTGTGCAGGGAGGGGCTCATGGCCACAGCCTGGGGACTCTCACCTGCTCCCTGGAAGAGGCACACCACCCAAGCCTGGCTTCCTCCAGTGCCTTCAGGCTTGGCAGCTTCCCTTGGAGACTGGCAGGCTCAGCCTGTGGCACAGGTGCTCAATATGGTACTTAACACCAACCCAGCCGGGCTCAGCACTTGCCTCCCTTCTCCAAGCTGCTGTCTGCACTTGGCACTCAGCTGAGCTTATGAAGCTGCTAATTAACTCTCCAGACAGTTTGTGAACCCCTGCGGTGCCCACAGAACGCCTGGTGAGAAGCCACAGCTGAGGGTGTGGGTGTTTGATTACACGAACCTGGACACACACCTGGTGCTTGGCGAGAGTACAGAGCCCTGGCCTCTCCCTCCCTGACTTAATCCTCTCAGCTTCTACCTGATTCCTCCACTGGGTTTAGCTAATCCTGACTGCAATCAAGCCATCATCCTGAATGTGATTCTGGGTCCAGGGGAGAGTTATGGATGCTTTTCGCTCGCCTTTAGGGTTGTGCTGTGTCCAAACAAGCCAAGAAGGGGTGGGTAGGGAGGGAGGGAGGCGAAGCCTTAGAGGAATGGAAAACATCACACCCTGATGATGAAGCATTAGCAGCTGCGGAATGAAATGAAAGTGATTGAAAGCACAAACTAGGAATCTGCAGACCTGGGTTCAAATCCTGTTCCCTCACTTCATTGATGCATGACCCTTGGCAAGTCTCCTTGTTTCTCAAATCTCAAATGGGGATTATAGTTGTACATACCTCACAGCACTTGAGAGAACTGAGTGCCTCTTGTAGAGCTGCTAGGACAGGGCCTGACACGTGTTAAGTATTGAATAACTGGCCTGTGAATTATGACGCTGATACAGTTCTTTCACTACCACTGTGTGATCTTCATAAATTTCTCAGGCCTCTCTGAGAACCAGGTATTGTTCATCTTGCCTAATTACCTCATAAGAGCCTGCTGTAGAGCAGAAATTGATGAAATTGAAAACAGGAAATCAATAGAGAAAATCAATAGCTGGTTCTTTGAAAAGGTCAGTAAAATTGTTAACCTAAGCAGACGAAAAAAAGATACAAATTCTTAGTGTTAAAAAGAGACTAACACTACAGATTTCATGGACTTTAAGGTGATGATAAAGACATATTATGAATAATTTTATGATTATGAATTTGATAACCTAGATGAAATGGATCAATTTCTTGAAAGACACAATTTGCCAAGACTCACATATAAAGAAAGAAGTAACTTGAATTAAGTGTATGTCTATTAAAGATATTGAATCTAATAATCTCCAAAACAGACAGTTCCAGGCCCAGATGGATTCAATGTTGAACTCTATCAAACATTTAAGGAACAAATTGTAATCTTTTCCAGAAAATAGAATTGGATGGAATACAATAGCCAACTGCTTTCCTATACATTAACAATGAAGAAGTGGAATTGAAATGAAAAACATAATATCATTTATATTGGTACCTCTCCCAAATGAGAATACTTAGGTACAAAAGTTTCAAAAAAATGTCTAAGCTCTACATGAGAAAAACCACAAACCTCTGGTGAATGAAATCAAAGAACTGAATAAATGGAGAGATTTTGAAGACTCCATATTGTCAAGACATAAGTCTTTACCAGTATAACCCACAGATTCAACATAATCCCAATCAAAATCCCAGCACATTGTTTTGTGGATATTGAGAAATTGATTTTAAAGTTTATATGGAGAGACAAAGGATCCCAGATAGCTGATTTGATATTGATGGTTACAATTATTGAGACATTGTGGTATTGGTGAAAGAACAAACAGATCAATTAGACAGAATACAGAGTCCAGAAATAGTCTCACATAAATACAGTGAATTGATTTTTTTTATTTGACAGGTAGAGTTAGTGAGAGAGAGAGAGAGACAGAGAGAAAGGTCTTCCCTCCATTGGTTCACTCTCCAAATGGCTGCCATGGCCAGTGCTGCGTCGATCTGAAGCCAGGAGCCAGGTGCTTCCTCCTGGTCTCCCATGCGGGTGCAGGGCCCAAGGACTTGGGCCATCCTCCACTGCCTTTCCGGGCCACAGCAGAGAGCTGGACTGGAAGAGGAGCAACTGGGACTAGAACCTGGCGCCTATATGGGATGCCGGGCACTGCAGGCAGAGGATTAACCAAGTGAGCCACCACGCCAGCCCTGTGAATTGGTCTTTTACAAAAGAGCAAGAAACAATACACAGAGCAAAGATAAATGGTATTGGAACAACCAGTCATTCAGATGCAAAACAATGAATCTAGACACAGAATTTATATGCTTCCAAAAATTTACTCAAGGGGTCGGCACTGTGGTGTAGGGGGTTAAGTCTCCACATGCCATGCTGGCTTCCCATATGGACACCAGTTCAAGTTCCAGCTGCTCCACCTCTGATCCAGCTCCCTGCTAATGCACCTGGGAAAGCAGCAAAAGATGGCTCAAGTACTTGGGCCCTGCACCCATGTGGGAGACCCACATGAAACTCCTGGCTTTGGCCTGGCCCAACACTGGCCAGAGAACATTTATGGAGTGCACCAGAGGATGGAAGATATCTCTCTGTCTCTGTCTCTGTCTCTCTCTGGCTCTTGGTCTAGGTCTCCCCCTTTTCTTCTCTGTCTCTCTAAGTCTGCCTTGCAAATAAATAAATTAACAATATTTTATCAAATTGGATCATAGATCTAAATGTAAAACATCACATAAAAATCCTTTAAAAATCATAGGAGAAATCCTAGATGACCTGGGATATGATGATGACTGTTTAGATACAGCAACCAGAAGTAAGAAATAAATACTTGATAAGATGGACTTCCCTAAAATGAGCATGTTATTACTTTGTAAAACATAGTCAAGAAAATGGAAAACAAGCCCTGTGGGAGAAGGTGTTTGCAAAAGACACATCTGATAAAGGATTTATCCAAAATATCACAAAAAATTCTTAAAGTTCAACTATGAAAAAGAAAAACCTGATTTAAAACATGGGCCAAAGACCTGAACTGACAGCTCACACAGAAGGGCTATGGATGGCAAGTCATCATGTGAGGGTTCAACATCCTAAGTCACTGGGGAATTGCAGACTCGGACAATGAGATACTGCTCCCACCCGTGGGAGTGACCAAGTTCAAGACATTAGCACCATTGAATGCTAGAGCAGAGCTGGATAAGTGGGATCTCTCATTCGTGGCTGATGGGAGTGCAAGATACACAGCCACTTTGGAAGACAGTTTGACAGTTTCTTATAAAACCAAATATTCACCAATTGCCCTCCACGGTATTTATCCACAAGAGTTGAAATATACGCCTACAAGAAAACCTGCACAGGAATGTTGGCAGCAGCTTTATTCATCATTGTTAAAACCTAGAAGTGACCAAGGTATGTTCCAGTTGCTGAATAGATAAATAAGCTGGACTGCCTGCAGACAACAGAATATTTCGGTAAAAGAAATGAGCTATCAAGCCTTGGAAAGGCATGGATGAAACACAATTGTGTATGCAGGTACTTCAAAAGGCTAGTGGAAAATGGGATTAGAGATAATTAATTTTGGTGCAAAAGGGATTTTGAAATCTGTATGTAGTTTTTAGATAATATGTATTTCATGAACTTTTTGAAGACCTCTCTTCATATGCATGGATTTCAGAAATTTCTTGCCCAAAAATAGATCCTTGTGCTCTGCAGTGAAAACAATGGGTCTGAAAAGGCTTCATGTTGTATGATGCCATTTGGGTGATATTCTAGAGAAGGCGAGGCTGCGGAGGCGAGAATAATGGCCACCGATATTAGGGGGGAGAGAGGATTGGCAGAGCATCCGAGGGGTTTCCAGGCAGTGTGGCTCTCTTCTGGCAGAGAGGATACACTGTGTGATACAGTTGCCAAGGCCTATAGATGGGACACTGAGAGTGAGCCCTCAGGTAAGCTGGGAACAGGAGGTGAGGTGATGTGTCAAGGAGGTTCACCAAGTGAAGCAAGTGTAGAATTCTATTGTAGATGTTGATTGTGAAGGTGATTGTGTGTGTGTGTGTGTGTGTGTGTAGGGTGGGGGAAGTATTTGGAAATTCTCTGTATCTTCCATTCAGTTTTTCTGCAAACCTCAAACTATGAAACGATGTTGTTATTATTATTTAAAAAAAAAAACAACCACAAGCCTGAAAGTCTCAGCTTACTTTATGAAGTGGAAGTTCAGTAGTGTAGGGGTAGAAAAATCCAGCCCTATCCAACTTGGGCAGACCTCGTGGGCGGTGGTGCACATTGTACATCACAATAAACATGTCAGTGAAATATCAAGACCAAAGATCTAAGTAGCGATGCACTGGCTTTTTCATTATCTAGAAAATGTACTTCTGTGAAATACGGTGGTCCCCGGGCAGGCCAGGCGAGGAAGGCTGATGGCTGACTATGCGAGGGTTCTTCTCGCTGCTTAGGAATTCTCCGCATCACTCCTTCTCCAAGAAGAAAGATGAGAAGGGGAACAGGAGCCTCACTCCCTCTCCCTACTTCTCTTCCTTCCTATATAATGAGGGGGAAGGGCAAGGTGACAGGGGGGGTTGCAGAGTAGACCCAGCAGGTCCAGCAGTCAGCGGACCCAGAGTGGTCTGCTCGCAGGTGCAGGTGCAGGGGGCGAAAGCCGTGCCATTGTCACCTGATAGGTGACACTGTCACACTGACACCCATGGCTTCCATGGTTCTCTGAGAGCTTTCTTGGGGAGGATATTCTTTGGGAATTGAGTGGGATGGTGTCTCCCATGGCTCCTGTATAGAAGGTTGCTCCCAGCCTGCTCTTTCAGGAGTCTGCCACCCCAGAAAGTAACTGGGTTTGTATCTGTGAGTCCTCCCTGTTTTTGCATCTTAGCACAACTCCACGAAGCTGGAGTGTCTTCTGAGCCCTGAGCTGCAACGCCTCTTCTCCGGAGGCCGATTAGTCATGTGGACACACCCCTGCCCTGCAGTGACCTGGCTCTGGGAGCCTGTGATTCTGGACTTGATTCTTGAGAGGCCCTGAGCAATTCCATTCCTGTAGGTTCTAGGTGACCTGACCGGCACACTTGCTCCAGTCGAGGCCTGCAAAGAGTAAGAGAAAGCAGAGCTGTCTAGGCAAAAGGGCCTATTCAGTAGTGGGGAGGCCATGGTGCGCACCAGCTGTAGGCTCCGGTTCCAGCACCAGTCCTGGGCATCCCTGGGAGTGTCCCATGGAAAGCCCAGCCTGGGGGACAGCAGGTATGCCCCATAGAACTTGGCTGATCTGGAAGTAGATCCCCTTGAGTCCCGAGACAGCCAATACGAATGTCTCTCCTAGAGGCTTCCTAAGAAGGAGAAGGGGCAGAAAGACGCAGGTTGATAAGTAGGGCCTAGCTTTCATGGGGAAATTTCTTTGAGAGTGAATTTTCCCGTTGCTCCTATTTGTTTATCCATGGGTTATACATTAGCCAAGTGAGAGAGAATGTAGGGGAGGCCTCAACTCTACACAAAGAAACACAAGAGGTGGGGTAGGGTCTCTGCTCCGCACGTTGTTGCTGGTCTAGGCATCAGAGAAAGAGTTTGCTGGGTATTAATCATCTAGAGTCCTGACTTCCTGTGAAAATTCTGCGAATATTCTTGCATGCACGTTGTCTCTCTAGGATGGGGGGTGCTGTGGAGGAAGTGGGGACAACCCAAACTGCTGCATGAACCAGAGGAAAGAGCAGAGGGTAAGTCAATCCCTTCTGCCCTGGAAGGCTGGGGTCAGCACACTTCTTCAAGAGAAAACTATGGCTAGACTCGGTGGTGGCCAATTGATGAGGGTGGGGAGGGTGCACGGCAGCCCTGGGTCCTCTGGCAAAGACCTCTGTGTTCCTGATTGCCAAAAGCTGCCTGCCAGGGGCTGGCAATGAACTTGGAGAAAGGGCTGGGTTGGTCCCACAGGGCATGCAGAAGGTGGAGATGCTCTGCCACTACCCATTCTCTGCCTGCAGGTCACTCTCTCGCCATCCTTGTTCAAACCAGAGGAGTTCGCACCCCTGGATCCCACCCAGGAGCCCATCTTCCCCCCTGAGCTGCTGGTAGGTGTCGTTACAGGGGAAGACCAGCAACATCTCAGGACCCTGAGTCCCAGTCCCTGGAGACCTGTTTTATTTTTATGCCCACTGGGAACTTTGTGTCTTCCTTGACCTGTAGGTTTCAATCTAAATTTTCCACCCTTTTTCTTCTTGTTTGTTTATTTTTACTGAGAGAGAGACAGAGAGAGACACTTTCATCTGTTGGCTCACTCCCTAAATGCCAGCAATAGCCAGGTCTGAGCTAGATTGAAGCCAAAAGCCAGGAACTCAATCTGGGTCTCCCACGTGGGTGGCAAAGACCCAAATACCTGAGCCATCACCTGCTGCTTCCCAGGTGCATATTAGCAGGAAACGGGAATTGGAAGTGGAGCTGAGACTTAAACCCAGGCACTCTGATATGGGATAGGCAGTGTCTTAACTACTGTGCCAAATGCCTGACCAACTTCCCTTCATGTTTCTGACACCTCGACCAGGTCAAGTTCCCCTGTTGCATTGTCCCACAGCACAGTATGCTTCCTTCACCCACGTCACACTTACGGTTACTAATCTGATATCTGTAGTCATTGCTAGACTATAATCTCCACAAGGACAGGGACTGGGACTTTGTAGTACACTGCATCACAGTAGCAGGTGCTCAGTAACCATTTCTTGACCTCCTGTCAGTATCTGAGCCCAAGCAATCTATTCTTTCCTCTATACACAGTCTACTTAAAACAAAAACAAAGAAGAGAGATTTTCAAAGGATGCGACCCGTGGCTTTACAGCTCTGTTTGAAGGACACCTGCTTACATCCACTTCCTCTCTTCACTCCAACATCTGTGACAAGCAAGGCTCAGAACACATGGAGCTTAGAAGGTGCTCCTGAGGGTGTTGTGCTCATGCAGGCTACCTCTAGTCTCCACGGACAGAGAGAGCGGGTTGGCAGGGCTTTCCCTGGATGGTGGAATCTTGAAACCACGGTCAGTTTGAGTTAGGGGCACTCTGTCACTCTGCACATTTCACAGCCAGTCCTCCCATGCGCTCCCCTCTGACCGACACCCATCCTCCCTGGCCTGTGTCCTCTCACCTCTTGCCTGCTGTACCTCTGGGAGACAGTGAGGGGGCACTTCAAGGAACACAGGCTTCCAGCCCTGTCATTTTGGGCCCTCGTGGACCCCCATATTCCTCCTATTGGATGTGCCTCCTTGGCCAAGGTGTCCCCAGACAAAGTGTATTAGCCTGAGTGGAGCTCCCATCTCAGCACGTATTAGTTCTCCTTTCTCCTCTCTTCACCTGCTGAGAGATCTGAATTCAGTGCTACACAGGTCAGCAGAGGAGCTGACCACCTGGCGCACTAGGGGAATGGCAGCGGGAGGCAGGAAACAGGGCAGTAAGAGAACTACCTTTCCCAGAGACTCAAGGACACTCCTCGGAGGCAGCTGCGTTTTGAAGGGGAGCGTGTGACCTGGATCCAGGCCTCAACCTTGGGGGAGCTGCTGGACCTCAAAGCTCAGCACCCTGATGCCAAGCTGGTGGTGGGGAACACGGAGATCGGTAAGGGCCCTGACCTGGTCCCGGGACCTGGGAATGCTGCTGGAATCTTCCTGCCTGCCCTCACTTCCCCCTGACCTTATCCTACTCCTGCACTCCACCCTTGCCCCACTGACTGCTCTAGGAACCCACCAAGGGACCTTGGACACTTGGATTCCTGCAAAAACCCAGGCTTTGGAGTCCCACAGTCCTGGTTCAACCTCTTGCTAGATGTGTGTCCTCAGAAAAGTTACTGGTCCTCCTCTACTCTCACTTCCCTACTCCTTATATGGGGGCAGCAGGACATCTTGCAAGGGTTGCTTTGAGTGTTCAGTGAGATGCCTGTACACTTGCTGATGTCTCCATAAACCTTCTTTCTTTCTTTCTCTCTTTCTCTCTTTCTTACAGGCAGAGTGGACAGTGAGAGAGAGAGACAGAGAGAAAGGTCTTCCTTTTCTGTTGGTTTACCCCACAGTGGCCGCTGTGGCTGGTGCACTGCGCTGATCTGAAGGCAGGAGCCAGGTGCTTCTCCTGGTCTCTCATGTGGGTGCAGGGCCCAAGCACTTGGGCCATCCTCCATTGCACTCCTGGGCCACAGCAGAGAGCTGGACTGGAAGAGGAGCAACCGGGACAGAATCCGGTGCCCTGACCAGGACTAGAACCCGGGGTGCTGGCGCCACAGGTGGAGGATTAGCCTATTGAGCCACAGCACCGGCCTCCATAAACCTTCATAGCTGACTAGCTGTGAGCCGGGTGCTCAGGGAAGGATGCAGGATAGGAGAGTCACCTGGACCCCACTCCTTCCTTCAAGGCTCCTGGATTGAGGTGGGGTTGGAGGTGGGGAAAGTGGGTATTCAGGCCAGTGTCTGAGGCCACTTTAGAGAGCTGGATGGGAAGTGGAGCAGCCTGGTCCCTAACCGGCACCCATATGGGGTGCTGGCACTTCAGGCCAGGGCGTTAACCCACTGTGCCATACTGCTAGCCCCAACTACCTGGTTTTAAGAACAGAGGAGTGATAGTTTAGCAGAGTTTCTAACCTGATTAGCCTGGAAGGACAGAAACCCGACACAGCTATGTGGGCTATGCAAAGCCAGGCAACATGAAGCACTCCCCACTGGGTGCTGGAAGGCAGATTTGAAGTCTTCTCTCTCATTTGCATTCATGTTACACTTTCGTGTTTCTATGACTGTTTACCCCAACACTCAAATGTGCTGTTCTTAGCTGCGTGATCTGATTAAGATATTTATCTTCCCTCTGCCTCAATTTCTTCACGTGTAAGTAGAAAACCTCAGGACCTCAAAAGGTTGTTGTGAGGTTTAAGTGGGTTAAAATAGGTCAAGTGCTTAGAAGAGTTCTTGACATGCCTTAGTTTCCCATGTTTTCTAATGTTACTACACATACGTGCATGCACACGTGTGCACACACACAACCACTGGAGTAAACTTGAGTTTGTTTCCCTTATATTTGGTTAGGTTTTTGTTATTGTTAGGTTTTTAAAACTTTATTTATGTATTTGAGAAGTAGAGCTACAAACAGAGAAAGGGAGAGACAGGGAGAGAAAAGTCTTCTATCTGCTGGTTCACTCCCCAATTGGCCGCAATGGTTGGAGCTGGGCTGATCGAAAGCCAGGAGCCAGGAACTCCTTCTGGATCCCCCATAGGGGTGTAGAGGCCTGAGCACTCAGGCCATCTTCTGCTGCTTTCCCAGGCCATAGCAGAGAGCTGGATTGGAAGAGGAGCAACTGAGACTCGAACTGGTGCCCATATGGGATACCGGTGCTGCAGGCGGAAGCTTAGCCTTCTATGCCGCAGTGCTGGGTCCTTAGTTATGAGAAAGAAAGACAGAGTTTCATTGCTGACAGTCTGAGGCCACACCTAACCCATACCTCGTCTACTGCATTTCTTAATCCTGAGACACACATGGAACACATTGTGACTGTGTCATATAACCCTGTGTGGGATGGTGGTACCATTGCTGAGGCCTGACTCGGCGATACTACGCTGGGCCTATAACCCAGGCATCTGGTTTTGTTCCAGGCATTGAGATGAAGTTTAAGAACATGCTGTTTCCCATGATTGTCTGCCCGGCCTGGATTCCTGAGCTGAACTCTGTGGAGCATGGGCCTGAGGGTAAGGGGGTTTGTCCTGAGCCCACAGAGGGGCTGAGAAGCTGGCATGGGTCATGAGAACAGTGGCGCGGCCAGGGCAGTTTCCCCTTTGGTGCTCACTGTTACCTGCCTCTCCTGGAGCTGCCCTTGCACAGGGAAAGGGGTGACCAAGGAAGGGGTTACTTTGCTTCTCCTCTACAAGCATCTATGGTGGGTGCCAGCAGGCAGGCGGGAGGCTCGGAGGTTCTCAGGAGCTGTCCTGGGTCCTGACTATGCATTGGAATAGCCCTTGGAGGGGGCGATGGGGAACTTGGGGAGGCTAGGACTTGAGTGCTTTTCAAAAAACTTCCAGGACTTCCATCCCAAAGATGCTGATTTTGATGAGTTGAGAGACACTGATTTAGAGGAAAGAGCATCTGTTGTAGGACCAAGTCCTGGTTCTTTTACTCATTGTGTGGCATTGGTTTAGTCATTTAGCATCTCTGGGCCCTCGTATCCTCACTCACACAAACACAAGACCTGGTCGAGCTTTGCTCGGGTAGCTGCACAGCCTCATGGGCTCTGTTGAGGGATGGCATTCACCGCGAGTATGTATCCCCAGGTATCACCTTTGGAGCCGCTTGCCCCCTGAGCTCCGTGGAAAAGACCCTGGTTGATGCGGTCGCTAAGCTGCCTGTCCAGAAAACAGAGGTGTTCAGGGGCGTCCTGGAGCAGCTACGCTGGTTTGCTGGGAAGCAGGTCAAGTCGGTGGCGGTGAGTCCCTGCCCAGAGGCCGGTGAGGCCGGCAGCACGGAAGGCAGGGTGACTGGCCGCGGCTGCTTCAGCCCAGGGATGCCCCACATCTTACTGTTTAGAATGGCCTGGAAGCAGATTCCAGGGCCCCACCCTCAGAGATTCTGACTCAGTGAATCTGAGATGCAGCCCAGAGGTCAGGTTTGTAACAAGCCCCTCAGCTGCTTCCGAGGAAGCGGTTTGCGGGGTCACTGTAGGAGACCCCTGGTCAGTGACTCAGTCTTTACCCCTGAAGTCGGAAAGAAACAGCTTCCTGCTTTCTTCTTCATGGACTTGGCTGAGGCTCTCATTAGATGAATAAGAGATATGTTAGGAAGCCAAAATTGGGAGGGGGGTGGTTTGCTTTCAGAGTCTGGGGGAGAAGCACAGAACAGCACCGAGGGGAGGGTAGGATCTCTCAGACCAGCCCCCAGATTCCTAGTTTGCAAATAATGGTGCTCACAGCTCTGGCCCTTCAAGGTTCACAGCAATTTATGGTGTTGAGAAGAAAGCTGTCCCATCCATTCCATGCATTTCCTTGTTTTTTAAATTAAAACAGAATGAAACAAAACAGTCTACTCCCACAGCTCTCACCCTGCCCACGCACCTGCCACTTTCAGTTAGAAATGAGGCGTCGCCAGCTCAGGCAGCTCTGCTTTGTTGCCCAGTTCTGCTAACGCGTGCTTCCAGGAAGGGTTTTTGTCTATTGTGCAAACATCTTTTCCAGTAATGGGAATCCTGTATCTGATTCTTCTTACATTTTCTTTTGCTGAGTTGCCAGGAGGCTCAGCTCCAACTAAAGCAAATTGTGCATCTTTAAATCTTCCTCCTCTTTTTCCTTGATCTGTATCTACTCTTTTCTATTTTACGAAGCCACATGGCCCCTGTGATAAACCACCTCTGTCCTTGTGAAAGAAGGTTGTGTGGAAGCTGCCAGACAAATCTACAGGGGCTTTCCCTGGTTTGCCAGTGGGTAAACATCAGAACTGGCACCCCACCCCAAATGTTCTGATCCCGTTTTCCTAAATGTGCAAGCCCTCCCATGCCATTCTCATGTCTCCATGGGGGCGTCCCATGTCCAGGAGCCAGCTGCTGAGCCGGGGTTTCCTGGAGTGGGCTCTCACTCGCACTCTCTGCTTGTCCTAGTCCATTGGAGGGAACATTATCACTGCCAGCCCTATCTCCGACCTCAACCCTGTGTTCATGGCCAGTGGAGCCAAGCTGACCCTTGTGTCCAGAGGTGAGTGCCTGAAGTGGAGGCTTAGAAGGAGAAATTTGCAGGGTTCGGGGTGGGGGTGGGGTAGAGGTAATGTCTCCCAGGTAGTCATTTCCTAGAGGAATGGAGTCTAAACTTCAGTGACCCAGGCATCTTACGGGTTGGATTTTTTGGAAGCTCCAAGAGATTATGTGCAGGTTGGAGGTCAGGAGAGCTGGGCCATTTCTTTATAGAGAATCTTCAGTACCCTCTGTCCCCTAGATGCCTTACCTGGCAGGATGCTGGGGCCAGGAGGTGCCAGCTTACCATAGCTGCCTGTAGCATCAGGAACAATTCTGCCAACATGGCCATTGCTGCAAATTCAGTTCCAGGAACTTACAATGAAGTGAGTTCTACCATTCATCATTGCCAAATGATTGTGCTTTGTTTATGCTCCTGCCATTGTTTATACCTCCCGTGTCTGCACAGTGGAAATGCTGGAGGAGGGTGTGCTCCTGGCCATGTCCACCCTGGGACCACCCCCAGCTCTGACCATTTGCTGGAAGCCAGCCTAGGGTTGCAGGATGCAAAGCAAAATCCGTCCTGGGGAAAAGGGACTGGGGGACATCCGCAGGATGCCAGTACACACAGGATCCTGGAGGGCTCCCTACCCAGGGAAGTCTCACAGAGGGTGCTTAATTTCCCAGCCACAACACCTGTGTGGTGTCACCTCCCAGGGCGGCTCCTTAGAAACTCAACACCCAGGTGTTCCTAGGGGCTGGGCACACAGGCAACCTGCCTCACACCTGCCAAAAGCACAGACTCCCAGAAGAAAAGCAAGTGCTCAGTATATACTGCTGTTTCTGTAACCACGGCAGGCACAATGGACAGAATGGGGGGAGCCTTCTCCTTCTTCTTTTAAAGATGTATTCATTTATTTGAGAGGCAGAATTTCAGAGAGAGGAAGAGACAGAGAGACAGAGGTCTTCCATCTGCTAGTTCACTCCCCAAATGGCCACAACAGCCAGAGCTGGGCTGATCCAAAGCCAGGAGCTTGGAGCTTCTTCTGGGTTTCCCATGTGGGTGGCAGGGGCTCAAGAACTCATGCCATTTTCCACTGCTTTCCCAGGTGCATTGACAGGTAGCTGGATTGGAAGTGGAGCAGCCGGGATGTGAACTGGCACCCACATGGGATGCCAGCACTGCAGGCTGTGGCTTAGCCCACTTTGCTGGAGCATGGGCCCCACTTGGGTCCCTTCTCATTTTGCCTCCACACAGGCACCAGGAGAACAGTTCGGATGGACCACACCTTCTTCCCTGGCTATCGAAGGACCCTGCTGAACCCAGAGGAGATCCTGCTCTCCATAGAGATCCCCTATAGCAGGGAGGTGAGAAGTCAAGAGCTGGTTCACACTGTACCCACGCTACTCCCCCCACCAGGCTCCAGACAAGGAGACCAGAGTCTGCCATGGGGGACCAGCATTACATCTCTCTCCTTCAACACTGACATTTTTCTCTCTCAACTTCATCTCTGATGAACCAGCCCTATTCCCCTCTGGGCAAGATGTTGCAGGGTAGGGGCACATAGGACCATGGACTTTGAAACCAGAGAGCTGTGTGTATGATCTTGAGTGACTCCTCTCCCTCTCTGAGCCCCATTGTCCTCATCTGTAAAATGGGCATGGTGTTACCTTCTGTGCTGAAATTCCTGGGTAAGGCTCCTGGCAGGTGTCTGGGGACCAGTGGTGATCACCAATTGTTAGCTAAACACACAGTCTCGGAACACACCCCGCTGTTCAGTCATCCTGGGCCATGTCAGAGGAGGCTCGTTTTCCTCTGCGGAACCATGCGAGGTGTGGGTGCTGAGTGGAGAAGCCGCCCATGAGTCAGATCCCCACATGCTGACCATGGACTTGCCGAGCTGTTGGCTCACCACCCTTGCTTGGGCTGGTGATGAGGGATTCCTGCTTTATGAGCAGCTTTTCTGGCCCACTGGGCAGGTCTGGGCAGCTCCAGATGCCTTGCCCGTGTTCCTCGGGGCCTGTCCTGGCCCCGCCTGGTGTGGTTCTCTCCTCTTGTAGCAGCTACCAGCCAGGGCACTTGCCACCAGGCGCCTTTTAGATAGGTGTTGGGCCAGAGGCTGGGGGCCGGCTCTCAAGGTCAGTGTGAGGGTTGCGGCTTCTGTGTTTCAGCAAGTGCTGCCAGGCATGTTTTATCCTTATAAATTTTGACCTCCTTAATGAGAATGCTAATGAAATTAGAGCAATTATGTCCCCGAGGTGGTTTCTTAATGATTTTCCAGCTTGTCCTTGTAAGTCATTTAGAGCAGTTTGAAATTTTACAGATCAGTACAACTACTACTAATAATAATGATTTGAATATGAGTGGGGAGAGGGTAAGGAAACAGGCATAGCACTACCTGGTTTTTATCAAAAAAAGTCATTTCACAAAGTAAAAATGTTATTTAAAATAATTTTAAAACATTTATTTCCATTTTATTTTAATGGCAGAGTCAGAGAGCGAGAGAGGGAGAGAGGGATTAAGGTTGAGATTGGAGGAGATCTTCCATCTGCTGGTCCACTTCCCAGATGCTGGGCTGGACCAAGGTGCAGCCAGGAGCCCAGCACTGCAGCTGGGCCTCCCCCATGGGTGGCAGGGACCACATTCCTGAGACATCATCTATTGTCTCCTAGGATGTGCATCAGCAGAAAGCTAAGTCAGAAGCAGAGTAGTGAGGACTTGAACCTGGCACTCTGATATTGGAGGCAGGTGTCCCAAGTGGTGACCTGACCACTGTGCCATACACCTGGACCAAGAAAGGAGATTTTGATACCCAGAATAAGGATGCCTTCTCCTGAGGCTGTTGTCATTCTGATGCTGCCAGTTCCTGGCAACCCAGGGAAAACGTCAGGTGGGCCAGCATCTGCAACCTGTGCTTTGTCTGACTTGCCACCTGCCTGCAGATCCTTTCCCACAGCTGGGACTGTTCTCTGGAACTTTCCTACAAGTGCAGGACTCAGGCACACCCTGATCTGAGTCCCCATATCACTTGCCTGCTGGTTTGCAATGGTGTTGTCCCCTCGCTTCACCTCACTCCCTGTGTTGTCACCTCCCCTGGCCATATGCAGTCCTTGATAAACAAGGTGGGAAAATGATGCTTTCTGCTCTTTTTCTAGGGTGAGTTTTTCTCAGCCTTCAAGCAGGCCTCCCGCAGGGAAGACGACATTGCCAAGGTCACCTGTGGCATGCGAGTGCTCTTCAAGCCAGGGAGCATGGAGGTGAAGGAGCTGGCCCTTTGCTACGGAGGGATGGCTAACAGAACCATCTCGGCCCTCAAGACCACTCAGAGGCAGATAGCCAAGTAAGAGCAAGCCATGACTGCTGCCACGCCACGGCCACTGCTGCTCCCGTGACTCCTGGCTGTGGGGAGCATCACTGCTACGGCCACGTTAGCTGCTGCTGCTACTGGTGCTACCACTTCTACTTTAACCACTGTAACTGCCACTACTGGTACTAGTGCGACTACTAGTGTTACTACTGCTGTCCTCCCACCGTGGCTGCCGTGGCCATTCCTACTCTCAATGCAGCCTCTACTGTTACTATTGCTACTACTGCTGCTGCTTCCACTACAGTATCGCAACTACTATTACCACTGGTACTACTATTATGACTATTACTATTTTCCCTGATGGTATTTCTACTACTGTCACTTACCATGACCCCTATTATTACTGTTGTTCCTACTACAGCTGCCACTTTTACCACTGCCTTTCTACTGTTACTATGACTAGTATTTCAGCTAGTTACAATTAATACTGCCATTGTTACTACTACAGTTACTATTGGTACTCCTCCTGCTACTGCTGCTATTACTACTGATACTTTCTAACATTACCGCTATGACTCCTATACTTTTTGCTGCTGCTGCTGTTATTGGTACTATTACTATTACTAGTATTGCTGCTGCTACTAGTGATTCTATGACTAGTAGTGTTATCACCAGTCCTGGTCCTACTATTACTAATGCTTCCTCTATTACTACAACTTCTATTTCTACTACTACTATTACTATTGCTACCACTGCTATTGCTAGTGTTACTACTGCTGGTATTACTACTCATGGCAAATGTTGCTGTTACCAGTAATACTATTGCTACTGCTACTACTATTACTACTGCTGTGGTTAACGCTGCTATTAAAAGTACTGGTGCCTACTCCATGGCTGCAGTTATACCACGTCTTTCACTGGCAGTATCCTATATATCCTATAATACCCATGTGGGATGGAGAAAGTTTAACTTGGAGTTTGCCTCCATGGTTCCAGGAAGTTCCTGGCTCCAACACTTAGGAGATGAGTGACATAAATTTGTTTATCTCCCCATGCCTCAAATTTTTTACATTGGTAAATTGGTATAAGATTTTTCCCTTAATTAAATGACAAGGGACTTAATTACAAAAACTTTTGGCCATTGCCTACCTCCTTTGTAGGGTCTCGGTCATTATTATTATTATTATTATTACTTTAAAAATTGCTCCTAAGGACGAATAAAATCAGGCTCAAGGAGGTTGGCCACTGGCCCAGAGCCTCGGGCCCCGAGTGTCTGGGCCACGTTCTGTAGGGAGGTCCTGCGACCTGCAGCATAGCGGCATCTGGGTGCAGCAGGCGGTGTGAGCGCCCTCCACGGTCCCGGTGTCGGTGTCGCGCAGGTCCTGGGGCCCTGAGCTACTGCAGGAGGTGTGCGCGGGCCTGGCCGACGAGCTGCAGCTGCCCGCCGACGCCCCGGGCGGCATGGTGGAGTTCCGGCGCACGCTCAGCCTCAGCTTCTTCTTCAAGTTCTACCTGACCGTGCTGCAGAAGCTGGGCGGGGAGAACCCTGACGACGTGAGTGCGGCGAGCCTCGGCGCGTGGTCCTTTGGGGACCGAGATGCGGGTCTGGGTGGGCATCTGCGGGCACAGAGAGGGGAACTGGAAGCCAGCCAGGCCAGGAGCCGCCGGGCTGGGACTCCAGGAGGCAGGTCCTTGCCCTGTGTGCGCCCTTAGACCCCCGTGGCACTGGACTGGTCTCTGGGCTCGCTGTGAAGCTGCCAGAGCGTAGGCGGATGGGCAGCCCCTAGCTGCAGAGCCAGGGCGACAGTGTCCGTGAGCAGGGAGAGTGGAGCGGGACCTGAACGTGGGGTGCGGGAGTGCATGCGGGCGGAGGCGGAGCCCAGCTCCAGAGGCCTGCTCACCAGCAAGCACATCGGCGCCTACTGTGAGCGCATGCCCAGTGACAGCGGGCAGCCCCAGGGTGGTGGGGAAGGCGGCCGTGGGGGCGGCCTCGCGTAGCTGGGAAGACCGGCCCTGTGCCATGGAGCGGAGAGAAAGCAGGGCGGGAGGGACAGCGAACTCCCTCTGTAAATCCTAATAACGAGGTGGGCTTCCGGCCTAGCTCTGGCCTGGCTTTGGTTAAGTTGCCCGCATCCCACGTCCTGGGTCCTGGGTTCCCTTCACTACACTCAAAGCTTCCTGCTGAGACCAGCAGGTGATGGTGCAAGCGCTGGGCTCCCTGCTGCCCATGTGGAGACCTAGGTTGAGTTCTGGCTCCCAGGTTGGCCCAGGCTGCTGGGTGAGCCAGTGGGTGGGAACTCTGTCTCTGTGTCTTGCAGCCTCTTAAACAACAGTACAAAAAAATTAATACTTAATTTTTTTTTATTATAAGAGTAGTACAAACTTACTGTGAAAAAATTTAAAAACAAATTCGCATAAGAAAAACAACCAAAATTACCACTACTCTCAGATCCCAGAGAAAACCACGGCTGATAGTTCAATCAGTATTTCTTGGATCTCTTTCCTATACTTACCTGTCCAGCTGTCTATCATACTGTTTGTCCCTTCATCCATCAAAATATCTATCATCTTGTGATCTTTGGATTTAGATATATCATTTCCTAAACAGATTTAATATCATACTGCACAGAGGATTTTGTAACCCCCTTGCTTCTTTTTTTTTTTAAAGACTTATTTTATTTATATACTTGAAAGGCAGAGTTACAGAGAGAGAGGGAGAGAGAAAGATCTTCCATCTCCCCAAACGGCCACAATGACTAGAGCCGAGCCAGACCCAAGCCAGGAGCCTGGAACTCCATCTGGGTCTCCCACATGGGCGACAGGAGCTCAAGTATTCGGGCTGTCTTTCACCACTTTTCCAGGCCCATTGGCTGCAAAGTGGAGGTGCCCTGACTTGCACCAGCTGTGCAAGGGATGCAGGCAATGCTGGTGGCAGCTTAACTCGTCCTGCTACAACAGGTCCCCCACCCTGCACCGCTTCTGTTGAGATGCTCTTGTGTATGTTGAATACTCTGCATGGACCTGAGGAGGACCAGGATGGCTTTTCCAGGGCGGAGGGGCTGGGGAGAAGGTGTTGCCACCAGAGGGAGCAGCACACACACATGCAGATGCAGATCTCTCTGTATGCCCACGCAGCAGGATGGCTGGGTATTCAGGAAGGAGACGGCCAGTTGAGTTGGCCGGCAGGTCCAGATCTCTCTGCGTGCCCACGCAGCAGGGTGGCCGGGTCTGAAGTAGAGTCTGCTACTCAGTGCCACACGTGCAGAGCCCACGTGTCGAGCTGGATCCAACTGTTACTCAAAGGGGTAGAAAAGGAGGGGATGAGAGGGACAGTTGTCACCTTTGACGCCTGGGGACAACCAAGGAAGGCGTCAATGATAATACAGTCATAGTTACTGTGCTGTCTCCCCACCCCCAGAAATGCAGCCTCCTGGACCCCACCTTCGCCAGTGCTACCTTACTTTTCCAGAAAGACCCTCCAGCCAACGTCCAGCTCTTCCAAGTGAGTAGACGGCCAGTGTCAGGGCCTTGGCCGGCCACATTGGTGAACATGGTTGATGGTTGGTGAATGACTAACTTGAGTTGTATGTAGGTACATAAAACTCCTTACTCTTGGGCAGAAATACTCGGAGAACGAGAACCAGGTTGATGTCAGTGTAGCTATCTGTACTCATTGCTTATGGAGAACGAATCTTCATTCTGTCTGCTCTGAACCCACCATGGGCTAATGTGCAAAGCCAGGAACTGTCTTTAGCATGAGAGGGACAAGGTGAAGGCCCATACATTTGTCCTGCAAACATTTTTGATTTGGGGGCCATCCAGCCTCCTCTACAACTTGTCAACTCTGTTGTCACAGAGAAGCAACCACAGACAGTACATAAGTGACTGTGCGTGCTGTGTTCCAATAAAACTTTATTTCCCAATACAGGCAGTGAGTTAGATCAGGTCTCAGGCTATAATTTATGACCACTACACTAGAGTGGGGCATGCACTCCGGGGCCTGACCTCTTGGTTTCAAATCAAAACTGCCAATTTCCCACTGTGCAGCCTTGAGAATGTTGCCTGCTGAGTCTGTGCCTCTTGGGTGTTACTTATACCCCCTGCAAGCGTGGGTAGTGAGGGCACCTGTTTCACAGAATGTTTTTGAGAGCTCCATGGGTTAATAAAAGTGAATCATGTGGGTAGTCCTTGGCATGTAGAAAACACTCAAAAACCATTAGTCATTGTTTTGAAAAACAACAGTGGAACTTTGTTGTAAAATTAATACATTTTTAAAGCATTTTGGAAAATACAGAGAAGTACGAAGAAGCAAATGAAAATCACCCAAGTCTCACCTCCAAGGGAAGATCATGCTTATATTTTTGTTGACCTCCTTCCACTTTCTCCTGTTCATGTGTCACCATACAAGGGAACTGGAAAGCTCATGGAACATGGGATTAAAGGAAAGGTTTATTTTGTTGCAAATTTTTTTTTGAAAATCCATGCATATGAGGGCATCTTCAAAATGTCCATGGAAAATGTGAATAATGCAAAAATGGCATGGATTTAAAAATTTTTTTGCATCAAAATAAACTTTTTAAAGAAATTCCATTTTCCAAAAACTTTTAGAAATTGCTCATACACACATACACACACACATATACACACTTTATTTATAGTATATATTCTTTTCTCCTACTGAATTCAAGTCCCTACATACAATGTTTTATGATCTGTCTATTCTCAACATGAGCCTTCTTATAATTAAACTGCTCAAATGAACGTTTTCATGCTTCACTGTATGATATGGCGTAACCCATCCTCTGATGGTTATGAGCATTTAGGTTCCTCCCTGTTCTTTACGTACTGACACCATGACCACTTATCAGTGGCTTCTTAGGTGCCTTTCTGATGGCTTCTCCTCAACCTCACAGTTTCCCAGGCCTGCAGGGGAGCAGTGTCCTTCACAGCTCAGCCTGACCAGTGATCTTGCTGTTCCAGGAGGTGCCCAAGGGCCAGTCTGAGGAGGACATGGTGGGCAGGCCTTTGCCCCACCTGGCCGCGGGCATGCAGGCCTCCGGGGAGGCCGTGTACTGTGACGACATCCCTCGGTACGAGAACGAGCTGTCCCTCCGGCTGGTCACTAGCACGCGGGCCCACGCCAAGATCAAGTGAGTGTAGCCACCTGTGCAAGGGGGATGCTGGGAGGATGCACGCACGAGACTTCTCGCACCCTGCCTGGATGCAAGCCCAGAGACCACGAGGCTCCTCCAGCGCCTCCCAGTCTGGAGGAAGGGAAAGGATCTCAGAACCGCAGTCTGAGGAGCAGCAGGCGGGCTCGGGGCTCCTTGGTGCCTGAGGGAGATCTGCTCCTGGAAGGGAGAGGGGCTAACATTACAGGGGCCACAGCAGGAAGGCCTTGGAGCCCTAAGTTGGCAGCTGCTGTAGGCTTTTACGAGTCGCACGTTACATTGGCCTGGTGAGCACTGGGCTAGACTTCCACGTAAGACACTCAAGGGGAGACCATGGCCTTGGAATCTCACAGACCTGGCATTGCTGGGGTTGCAGCCCTGCTCGACTGCTTAGCAGCTGAGTCCTGGGCCTGTGGGTGCAAGTCCTCATCTGCCCACGTGTAGTTGGGTGTGTGTGTGTGAGGATTAGCCATGGTGTCCTCAAAGCACCTGGCAGAGAACAACCACGTATACCTGTTTCTTGAAATTTGAGAGCCTGAACGACAAGCAACTGCCACCTCTATAGTAATAATAATAACAGAGCAATCATAACAATAGTAAAATTTAGTATGCAGTTGACACTTAATATTTGCTGCAGCCTGATTTGAAGAATTTTATATATATTGGCTCACTTATGCCTCACATCGACACTATTGGCAGTTGCTATTATTATCCCCCATTCCAGACAGGCAAAGTAAGGCACAAGCAGGTTAGTAACAGACTCTGCAGGTTATCCAACTGGCAAGGAGTGAGTTGGAGTTGGAAGCCAAGTGGCATTCGCTTCTGCTTGTTCAAGCCAGAGACTGTGAGATTCATGACCTGGTAGGCACTGGACACCCAACCTGCTGACTACAGCAGCTTGGAAACCCCTTCCTTGGACCCTGCCACTGCAGGGTTAGAAATCACGTCTCTGTCATTGGTTTTTCTCTGCAACTGCTCCTAGCCTGGGCACAGGTTCCAGGAATGGCGGCCAGGACACAGATATAATCTCTAACACATGCATAAGCTTTTCCATATCACTGAAAAAAAATGTTTATGTAAGTGGCTAGGGCTACCAGCTGTGGGGTAAATTCATTTGCCTTTGTCTTTGTCTTGATCCCATGGTGACAGTACCATGACCCCTACTGTCCACACTCTAGCAGTGCAATGGGTGTAGGAGGTGGGGAAGCGTTGTAGGAATTGGGATGCTTGTACCTGGAAGGGCTCCTGGTGGACCAGAGCTGGGCTGACTTTGGCAGTCCTCTGCCTTTGGCACCCTCACAACTTAACCTCAACTCTAATCCCAGTTACCATGCCTTCAGACTGAGTGACTTCGGACAAGCCACTTAACTGCCCGAAGCTTGAATTCCCCCACCTGTAGAAAGAGGAAAATGCTCATTCCTTTCAGCTTGCTTGTGAGGATTAACTGTTTGGAAGGTGGTTGATACTTCAGGGCAGTTTGCAAGCATTTCACTAAGTCGCCCCCACCCTATACCCCCCCGTGGACACAAGCCAGAGTGATCAGTACACAACTGAGACTGTTGTAGTTGCTAAACAAGCTGGGCCTTTTCCCTTTGCGATCTGCATTGACTCATTACGTGTGGTTTGCCTGCTGTGCTGGGAGAGCACCATGAAGAGCAGGACAGAAATTCAGCTGTGTGCACAAGTTCAGGGCCATCGATCCCCAACACAGCAAGGGCCTTCCTGTGCTGATTCCGGGTGGGGGTTAACTGGTACTGTGGATTTTAGCCAGTAACCTCCACAGTAAGTGCTGCTCACCATGCTGGGTCTCCTTTGCCCTTGGAGAGCAGACAGGACACAGCATAAGGTCCATGAAGACCTGACCTGTCTTACTCATCTTATACTCTCAGTGGCATTCAACACACAGTGGCCTCCATGTAATAACCATTTCATCAGCATTTACAGAGAAGAACAGAAGTAGAATCTAATAGAAAAGAAGGTAACAAAGGGAGGAATGAAGGTGAAGTAAATGAAGGCAGGTTGTCCAATCTGGTGACTGCTCCAGCTCTGTGTGTTGTCCTGGTTCCTCACTTGAGTTATTCTTGCAGGTCCATAGACATTTCAGTGGCCAAAAAGGTGCCAGGGTTTGTTTGCTTCCTCTCGGCTGCTGATATTCCTGGGAGTAACGTAACTGGACTTTGTAATGATGAAACAGTTTTTGCACAGGATAAGGTATGTCTTGGATTTCTTTATAAGAAGTAAATGGAATAAGGATTGCCATTTTCAATTATGCTCATTGTTCCAAATCCCTGATCCTGAAGGATTACATTTGCATATGCAAATATCTGGCCATCATCCACTTGGCCCATCTAGGGAATAATCCATTAAGAGGTAGGATATGTTTTACTCATTCATTTAATTGATGGCTCTTGTTTATACACAGTAGGCTAATTCTATGCCAAAGTGGCAGCAAAACCTGACTGGCAGTTGCATTTGAATTAACAATTAAGCTCTTAAAGAATAATGTCAAAGTCCTTTATTCATAGGAAAGAAAGATACTGCAAACAAACCATAATAGTACCACTGTATGTGTTGATAATTCATTTATATGAAAGTTCATCTGTTGATCTTGGCCATATGTAATTCTGCAATAACAACAAGACATTTCCAAGCATTTAGGGTAACTGTTAGAAAAATCCTCTGCCTTACTCACAGGATATTTTTTGAAGATCATTTTTTTCTTTAATTCTAATATAGATCAGATTTTGCAAACTAGACAGTAGTGGGTATTACGAAGGGTGGATTCACTTTGTTGATGTGAAAATGAAGGAGAAAACAAACCCACAAGAGACACAAGAACTCTACCAGGAGAGCATTTAGTGGAAGAACAAATTGTTTTATGAACTTTGGGAGCCCCAGAGAGCACTGCCTTATGCTTAATGAGGGTCATCCAAGTTCAACCACCACGAACCAAATAAGCCAATGACTTAGTTGGGTCCTCAAGAGATAATTGCCAGAGATTTGCTTGCTAAGTATTCATTCCTCTTGTCAGAAGCCTCATATTCCAAAGTGATGATTTTGATAATAGTTTATTGTTGCTGTGTGTGTGTGTGTGTGTGTGTGTAGGATGAAAATTATTCCTGAAAGAGATCCATTAAACTACTATGGAACTGAATTTTCTTTTCTTTTTAATATTCATTTATTTATTTGAATGGCAGAGTAGAGAGAGAGAAGGAGAGAGAGATGTCTTCTATCTACTTTTTTACTTCCTAGATGGTCAAAACAGCTAGGTCTGAGCTGGGCCAAAACTAGGAGCCAGGAACTCCATGCTGATCTCTCATGTGGGTGGCAGGGGGCCCAAGTATTTGGGCCATCTTCTGCTGCTTTCCCAGGAGCATTCATAGGAAGTGGGATTGGAAAGAGAGAAACCAGGACTCAGGCACTTCAGTAGAGGATGCTGGCATGGCAAACAGCAGCTTAACCTGTTGCGCTAAAGCTCTGGCCCCTGGAAGTGAAGTATTCAAAGAAAATAAAACAATAAAGCAACAATTATTATTCTCTAAGTTCTTTAAAATCTTGTTTATGGGCCATCGAATCCAAGAAAACCAGCATGTGGGAGCCACTGCTTTGGAGCATATAAATGAAATATAAGATGTGATTGCGGCCTTTGAGAAGCTTTTCGTATAAAGCTGGGGAACAGAAGGCAAGAGAGGAATGGAAAGAAGATAAAGAGTGGGAGTCAAGGCCTAAGCTTTACTTGTGATCTAGTAACTAGCCACTGTGGTCTTCCAGGTCTCTGTCTCTTCATATGAAGACCATATGAATATTTGGAATAGAGCCAAAGTGACACACACACTGCCTAGTGCCACAGTTCCCGTTATGCTCACAGCAGCTATTAATAATCAATTGCCAGTTCCATCCTGCCCAGATTCACAAAGGAATGCCAGAACTGAGTAGGGAAAATTGCCTTTGAGATTAACTCTGTCTGCCATCCTCATCCTGGGGATCTCTAAGCACTTAGAAAGAAGCATATAACCTCAATTAGTAGGACCAGGGGATGAAAAGGCTCCAGGGCCATCAGAAAAAGTGCTTTGATTGTGAGACAGCAGGGATTTCTTTGCCTTTTTGAACAATGCAAAAACTGGGTTGCTTCACGAGGAGCTTAGGTATGTTTTCTGACAGTCCACCTCCACTCCTAGGTCACGTGTGTTGGGCACATCATTGGTGCTGTGGTCACTGATACCCCGGAACACGCACAGAGAGCTGCTCAGGGGGTGAAAATCACCTATGAAGACCTTCCAGCCATTATCACGATTGAGGTAATTGCGAGTGCACTGCTTGCAGTGAGCAGCGAGCGTCCCGTACCTGCAGGCCCATTTATTAGGATCCTCTTTAGAAGACTGGAGCAGCAGGTAGAGATTTGGCTACACGGGGCTTTAAATCCCTCCCAGTCCTTGGAGATTTTTTGTTCCATGAAGCCTTCCTCTTCATGATCTTGGGCTCAGTCGACTAACAGCCAAACTGAGTTCCTCCATCCCCAAATTTGGCTCCAGTGGTTCCTCCTGGGGTCCTTGTTTTTCTGCAAGAGCTGGGGCGGTCCACCTCTCGCTGAAGAAGTGCAGGAATTCCGACAGAGCTTCCCTTCAGTCTGCATGCGAAGCGTGTAGAGGTTCAGATGAGAAGAGAGAGGAGGAGACCCAGAGCTTCCTTCTCCCCGATCAGAAGCCGTCTTCTTTCCGCCCCTGGGAGGCAAGTGACTGAAGCTTCTTTTTGATCCTCAGGATGCTATAAAGAACGAATCCTTTTATGGGCCTGAGCTGAAGATTGAGAAAGGAGACCTCAAGAAGGGGTTTTCCGAAGCCGATAACGTTGTCTCAGGTACAGCAGCAGTGAGGAGGGTGCGCCCTGCTTGCAACCTTTAAATGCAAAACTGCACGTTGATCCCAGGGCAGGGAGGTGAGTGCTAAACAGCTCCTCAGAGAAGATCCCCTCTTCCGTTTGTAACAAAACGGTGGATAGCTGGCTGGCGTCCACTCTCAGTCATCTTAATCTCCTGTGTCTAGACTGGGTAACCTATGTGGTTCTTGAGAGGTTAGGCTGAGTAATGTGTTCTAATTTGGAGAGCCGTCCTGGGCAGTAAACAGCCACAGGTGTAGCCAGCTGTGGGTCTGCCAGGCTGTAGCCACAGAGTCCTCACCTGCCCCGAGTGCATGAAGGTGGTCCTTATCCATTGGCAGCTGGCTCTCTCCCCTTGCCTGTCCTTCCCTCCTCCTCCCCCCGACCTGTCTCTGACACTGAAGTGGGGTCTATGGCTCTTCCCCTAGGACATGGCTGCTACTAGTGTGCCTTTTGGAATTGCTCTGTAGGTTGGCTGTGGGGGCACTGCCGAGTCAATAGCAAGCCACCTCTCTCAAAGGCCTGGTAGCTTCAGTTTCAGAAGATGCTCTTATTTGCTGCTTTCTGATTGCCAGCCTGAATAGAGAGAGAGCAGCAGTCAGAGGGTGCGTAGCTGAGCACTACAATGGGGATACGCACACCATGCTGGACTGTGGGGCAAGTCAGAGAGGCAGAGCCAGGAGAAAGACAACCTTGGCATGGGCGTTGGGTCTGGCAGTTAAGAAGCTGAGTAGCGTGGACCCTGGAGGGCAGCAGTGATGGCTCCAGGGAATCAGGTCCCTGCCACCCACAGGAGAAGCCCAGATTGAGTTCCCAGCTGCTCGCTTTGTCCACCTGGCTATTGCAGGCAGTTAGGGTGTGAACCAGCAGATAGGAACTCTGTAAGTCTCATAAATAAATACATAAATAATTTTAAATAAGCATTCTATCAGATATTTTGAAATAATAATCTTTGCCCACAATGAGAAATAGCCAGGGTGAAGTTCATTCACAGTTGAATGAACAGCTGCTGGGCGCTGTCCCTGTGAGAGTGCCTTTTATGTAGGGTTGTGGTGGCCTCTGTGCTGTGCGGTCCTGGCAGAGTCTGCTGTGATAGCTGCTGTGAGGCCGTTAAGTGCGAGGACCCCTTCTCCATATCCTCCTGGCTCGCTTTCTTGCTTTCCTTTCATTACAGTTGACCCCAGTGACTCCCCTCTTGGTTTCAACAGCTTTTACCTTCCTCCCACACAATCATCTTTTCTTTACCTTTTCTAAACATTTATAAGGAGTTGTATTTAGAAATATTTGATTTCCTCGGGCTGCAGTGAGAAGCAAACTTTGCACATATTTCAGTGTTGCACAGGTTTCTTTTGGGGGGATGGGGAGTAGGGGGACTCTGTAATTCCCAGATGACTGAGAATTGAGACTCCTTTGCAGCCCAGTTGGGGAGCCTAGAGGCTCCCTGTGAGCTGTTGGTTCCTGCCCGGGCCACATGCAGAGGACATTCTGTCCCCAGACAAACCTGCCCCTCGCAGCCCGGGCCTCACTGTGGGCTCTCATTGCTTCCCTAGGAGAGTTGTACATCGGTGGCCAAGAGCACTTCTACCTGGAGACTCACTGCACCATTGCTGTCCCGAAAGGCGAAGCAGGGGAGATGGAGCTCTTTGTGTCCACACAGAACACCATGAAGACCCAGGTAGGAGACCTGTGGGGAGGACAGAGGGAAGTCCCACGCAGACCACCAGGGCAAGGTGGCCAATGGCAAGAGGGAGACCTGGGCTGGTCTGGAAGGGGACTGGAGAGCAGTGGTGCTGGCGCCTGTTGTTAGCTCTTGTCACTCCAGTGCTGGGCAGCCTTGGTCAAGTCATATCCTCCCTGAGAAGGGGTTGGTAACAACCGCAGGGGCCACAAACGTATCTACAGCAACTTGAATGTTCTCAACTGTCTGTAATGGGACAATGGTTTGCCCACTGGCCTTGTGCTGACCTACTGACCTCTGGCCAAACAGAAGCACTTTTGGCTTTGCAAGTACACTGCGAGCTGTCCGCCCCTTTGGTTTAACAGTGAGGTTCTGAATGGTCTCAACTCAGCCTGCAGTGCCTGATGAGGGCTGGACACCAGTACTACCAACCGGAGGGCTGAATTCAGAGAGGAGGGGCTTTTGGAATCAAGGGATTTCAGAATTTGCAACAGTAATTAGGCCCATGCATATCAAGAGCCTCTGGTTTGGGACTGAAATAAGAACCAATGATGTATTCAGTGCCCGTGTTGTTTTGTTTTGTTTTGTTTTGTTTTTCCCCCATAGAGCTTTGTCGCAAATATGTTAGGAGTTCCAGCAAATCGGATCGTGGTCCGAGTGAAGAGAATGGGAGGGGGCTTTGGAGGGAAGGAGACCCGGAGCACTGTTGTGTCCACAGCAGTGGCCCTGGCTGCATACAAGTGAGTTCTCCCAGCAGGCCTTGGGAAGAGAAGTAGGTCTGTGTCCGCCAGGAAGCTTTCCTGGATTCCTCCCTGTTGGAAGGAGTTTGCCTCTGCTTTGAATGCTCATGACTATCTATTTGTAGAACTCTCGGGCTTAGGGATGAGCGCAACATGGCCTGTTTCTTAGTGTTCTGACATGTGTGCCCCCGTCTTCTCCCTCTAGCTGGCCGCAAGTTCCCCAGGGATAGGCCCTCCTCATGTCCTGTAGAGTCCCTGTCCTGTCTCAGTTCAGCTCTGCCCCAGGAGCCAGCTGGTACAAGAGGGCTCCCTTGCTGTCTCCATCCCCAACACTCACAGGGCTGGGCAGCTGTGGATGGCCCACAGGCTCCTAATGCTCTTGGTGCCCACGCAGGACTGGACGCCCTGTGCGCTGCATGCTGGACCGTGATGAAGACATGCTCATAACTGGTGGCAGACATCCTTTCCTGGCCAGATACAAGGTCCCGGGTCTTGGGATGTGCCAGGGTGGGTGGTGGGCAGGGTCTCCCTGTGAGGGGCCAGAGGACAAAGGTCCAGGGAATGAGAGCTGCACTGTCACCCTTTGCCTATCACTCTGCCAAAGTTCAAGGAGGAAATAGCAACGAGAGAAACTCAAGTCTGGCAACAGCAGCACGGAAGGGTGTGCTGGGTGAGACTGACGGGCCAGTTCCCGAGAGAAACCTCAGAGGGTGGCATCCATGAGTTCTGTGAAGTTGCTAGGATCCGAGTTTGGTCTTTGGAACTAAGTTGGCCTCTGACACATCGTTTACCATCAGACCTAGGGGTAACCCACCATGCTGGGTGCCCAGTGTCGATGTGTCCACAGCCTGCTGTGAAATCCAGAATGACCACCTGAGAAATTAGACTTCCCCCGGGCAGGGGTTGGGGTAAGGGCAGTTGTTGGGGTGGGCACCCGCTTTCCCAGTACATGGTTAGGCACTGCCCGGACCTCCCCCTGGGACAGTGTCTTTCCTGGGCTCCGTGCATGACCAGTCCTTGTTCTGACAAAGAGCCTTTCTTCCTCTACGTACCAGGGTGGCCTCCCAGGCCTGCGTCTGGCCCCGTGCCATGCACTGGCCTTGAGCAGCTTCCCTCAGCTGCTCTGACTTTGTTTCATGCTTTCACCCTCCGAGAGGAATTACATTTCTCTGATTCCTAAGTTCTCAGGAGCCTGTAGAACAGCAGCTTGATCTTCCGGAGTCCCGGTTTCCACATTTGTAAAATGTCCTGTGAAGGAGTGCTTTGATGCCATGCAAGCACATTCGTGCTCGTGTGAAGCGTAGCGCTTGTCTCCTGCCCAAAGCTCCACGGGGAACCCTGCCAAATCCTTCCCAGTCTCTTCCCGGCCTGCCCCCTGCCTGCCCTATCATGATCAGCTGTCTCTCTCCTACCTCCTCACTCCTTCTGTCAGAGCCAGCAGCTGGGCGCAGGTGGAAGGGATGAGAGTGTGGGAACAGCATGCGAGGGGCGGGGAGCCAAGGGTGCCCAGTGGGGAGGTGTGAGGTCCTCTCCTCTTCCTCTGTTAGGGTCAGGCCCTCTTTTTCATGGGGTGGGATCTCCTGCTTTCTGTCCCCTCCCCCCAGGTAGCAGAGGTGGGACTGGAGGATCAGGGACACAGGAGGGGACTGTTGTTGAAAAGTTGCTCTCCTTTTTGGCAGGTGGGTTTCATGAAGACGGGGAAGGTTGTGGCTCTGGAGGTGGAACACTTCAGCAATGCAGGGAACACCCAGGATCTCTCTCAAGGTGTAAGTAGGACCCCTGCCTGCTCCTGGGGTGACAGGGGGTCAAGGGCATGCCCCACGGCCCGATGGCACACACAGGGCACAGGTCTCCCCCCCTGCCCCATTCCTGCCCGCGCTGTTGCAAGTAGCCCCCCGCCTGGTCTGCATCCCAGGCTCTCCATCCTTGGTTCATCTCTAAAGCACAAAAATGGTCATAGTACTTCTTGGATTAGAAACAGCCTTGTGCAACTATGTTGCCAAACAAAACAGTTCCAGAGCTTTATATATGGTGTGGTGACATTTTATTTTGTGTATGTGTGTGCTTGCATGCATATATTATGAATTCAATTAATTGGGATTTTTTTTAAAAAAGATGCATTTATTTATTTGAAAATCAGAGTTACACAGAGAGAGGAAGAGACAGAGAGAGAGAGAGATATATTATCTTTCATCCGCTGGTTCACTCCCTAAATGGCTACCACAGCCGGGGCTGGGCCAGGAGCTTCATCCAGGTCTCCCTTGTGGGTGCAGGGGCCCAAGCACTTGGGCCATCTGCTTCCTTTCCCAGGTGCATTATCAGGGAGCTGGATGAGAAGTGGGGCAGCTGGAGCTCGAACTGGTGCCCATATAGGATACTGGTATCACAGGTGGCAGCTTTACCCCCTGTGCCATGGTAGCAGGCCCTGTTAATTGGAGTTTAGTTAATTATTGGGGTTGATGTGTAACACAGTGGTTAAGTCACTGCTTAGGATGCCCACATTACATCTTGGAGTGCCTGTTGGGAGTCCTGGCTCCTTCACCTCTGATTCAGCTTCCTGCTAATGCATACTCTTGGAGGCAAATGATGATGGCTGGGGTCACTGGGTCCCACGAAGTGGACTTGGATTGAGTCCCACACTCCTGGCTTCAGCCTGGCCCAGTCCTGGCTATTCCAGCATTTGAAGGAGTTAGGGGATCTTTCTCTGCCTCTCAAATAAAATGAAAATAAATTTTTAAAACAATTTAAAAAGATTCTTTAAAACAATAAAATAAAACTTTCAGAGAAGCTAAATTTAGCAGGGCTAAACTGAGCGAAGAACGATTCACAAATCAAGGAGCCCTCAGAAGAAGAGGTTCACAGAGCCTTGCCCCACAGTGTAGGTAGGCAGCTTTTCTGAGCAGGGAGTGAAAGTGATGGACAGACACAGACTGGCTCCAGCCGGGCATTTGCCTCGTTTGACAGTGGGCTGGTCTGATCTGGGACTGGCTCTGCTGTTTGGTGCAAGTGTGCACCTCCATGGTAGGCTTGCAGTGAGTTTATGTGCAGCTCATTATATAATTTATATTATATATACCCACACACATATGTATGTATACTTATATACATATAAAATGGACATTATTGTCCCAGAGTTCTGGAGGCCGGTAGACTACCATTGAGCCTGGGTAGGGCCACCCTCCCTGTGCAGGGCTCTGGAGGAGAATCCATTCTTGTTCTTTCCAGCATCTGACAGCTGATGGCACTCCATGACTCCAGTCTCTGTCTTCCTAACACCTTGTCTGTGTCTGCTTTCCTCTAGCTCTATAGACCTGGAAGTGCTTCTTTTTTCTTTTCTTTTTCTTTTTTTTTCTTTTTTTTTTTTTGACAGGCAGAGTTAAACAGTGAGAGAGAGAGACAGAGAGAGAGACAGAGAGAAAGGTCTTCCTTCCATTTGTTCACCCCCCCCCCCCAAATGGCTGCTACAGCCGGTGTGTTGCGCCAATCTGAAGCCAGGAGCCAGGTGCTTCCTCCTGGTTTCCCATGCGGGTGCAGGGCCCAAGACTTGGGCCATCCTCCACTGTACTCCCGGGCCATAGCAGAGAGCTGGACTGGAAGAGGAGCAACCGGGACAGAATCCGGCACCCCTACCAGGACTAGAACCCGGGGTACTGGCACTGCAGGCAGAGGATAAGCCTGTGAGCCGTGGCACCAGCCTGGAAGTGCTTCTTGACTTAGCACCCAGAGGTGTCTCCATCCTAGGAAACCCATGCATTGAACACCCCTTGCCTACCTAGCACCACGGCCTAGCAGCGCAGTGCGCTGTGGAACATCACTTGTTTCTCTTCATGGTTGTGTCGCTGGTTGGCAGCCATGGCTCACTCTCCCTGCCTGGCATCATGAGACTTTATCATTACACATATTATGAATCTAAGACAAGATCAAAGTTCAAACTTCCAAGTACAGATTCTACCAAATGCATATTGCTTTCACACCATCATAAGGTCAACAAATTGTATCATGATTTAGGGACTGTTTATGCCTGTGACTGCATTAAAGGCCCACCCCAATAATCCCACATAAGCTGCTTCTCTTTAGAGCCTTCATTTTGTCATACCTTTTGCCATGGATAGTGGTGTGGTAGTATTCATAGGTGCTATGATTTGGAAGTGAAAATATCTTGGGGAGCCATTTTCTTCACATCACAGATTTTTGTATCAAATGTCCATTAAATCCTATTGAGTGATGGTATTATTGAATAAGTCTATATCCTTTCTGATTTTTTGTCTATTTTAAAATTAATTTTGAGAGAGGAGCATTGATATCTCCGACTAGCATTATGGATTTTTCTGTTTTTCCTTATGGTTCTGCCAGGTTTTGCTTTTTATTTGCAGCTCTGTTCTTTGAAGCAGACATAGTTCTTTTGGGAGGACTGTTTTATCTTTATAGAATATCCCCCCATAATGTTTTTCTCTGAAGTCTGCTTCATCTGACATTAAGCCTACCACTCCTGCTTTCTCTTGATTAATGATTGTATGACTTATCTTTTTGCATCGTTTGACTTTGAACCTGCTTGCATTGTTGTACCTGAAGTGCCTTTCTTGAAGTTTTTTAACCAACTCTGCTAATCTTTTAACTGTATTTATATTGGTTAAAGTAATGACTGATTATTGGGTATAAGTCTGCTACTTTATTTTTTTGTTTGTTTTGTTTTGTGTTTGTTCTCTTAGCTTTTTTGTTTCCTTTCCTGTGAGTTACTTGCACATTTTTTCGAGTTGATTTTTATTTACTTGTGATATTGTTGAAGGTATCTCTTGTATAGTTATTCTTGGTTGCTCACTGAATTGGCGCTGTTGATACCTGTAACTGATAGTAGTCTATGAGTTGTCATTTCACCAGTTTTGGCAAAATTTAGAAACCTTAATCCCTCTACATCTTCTTGCCTTCTCTACTTATACAATTTTTATTTAGAATTCTTTTTTGCATACATTTGGAGCCACATTGAAATGGTATTATAATTTTTGCTTCAACTAGTGGACATGACTTTCAAAACTCGAGAAGAAAAGCCTGTTGCTTTTATCCATGTTTTTGCTTAAAGTGTTTTTTCTTCCTCCCAAGATTCCAAGGTTCCTTCTTTGATGCTTCTGTTTCTGTTTAGAGAACCCCTGCAGTTATTATTCTATTACAGATCTTCTGGGAACAACTTTTCTGAGTTGACCTTCATCTGAGAATGTCTTGTGTTTTTCTTTCTTACTCCTGTGGGGTAATTTCATTGCCCCGTAGGAACATTGAGAGTTCTTTTCTTTCAGCATCTGAAAAATGTGGCACTTTTTTAGAAACTCCATAGTTTTTGCTGAAAAATCACTTGTTATTCTAATTACCTCCCCCAGATAGGTAAGGATTCATTTCTCTGATTGCTTTCATGGTTTTTCCTTTATCTTTAGTTTTTAGAAATTTGATTATATGTCTGCTTATGGATTTCTTCAAGTTTATCCTGTTTGGTGGTCACTCAGAATACAATCTATAGGTTTATGCCTCTTGAAAAATTTAGCAAGTTTTCAGTTATTATTTTTTAAGGATTTTTAGCCCCTCTCTTTTATAAAAATTATTTATTTTTATTTATTTGAAAGGCAAAGTCAGAGAATGGGCATGGAAGGGAGAGTGCGAACCATCTTCCATCTGCTGGTTCACTCCTCAGATGCCTTCCGTAGCTAGGGCTTGGCCAGGCTGAAGCCAGGAGCTGTATCCAAGTCTCCTATGTAGGTGACAGAGACCCAAGCATTTGAGACATCCTCTGCTGCCTCTCAGGCTCATTATCAGGAAGCTGGTGGAAATAGAGGCAGGACTCAATCCTATGTATTCTTTTTTTTTTTTTTTAAGATTTATTTATTTGAAAGTAATTTAGAAAGAGGGAGAGGCAGAGGCAGAGAGAGAAAGAGAGTTATTCCATCTGCTGGTTCACTCCCCAAATGGCTGCAGTGTCCAGGGCTGCGCCAGGCCAAAGCCAGGAGCCAGGAGCTTCATCTGGGTCTCTCACGTGGGTGCAGGGGCCCAGGGACTTGAGCCGTCTTGCATTGCTTTCCCAGGCATATTAGCAGGGAATTGGATTGGAAGTGGAATAACCAGGACTTGAGCCAGTGCCCAGTGTGATGCCAGTACTGCAGGCCCCAATCCTAGGTATTCCAATATGGGATTTAAGCCTCCTGGGTAGTGGCTCACCCACTGTGCCAAAATACCTACGTCTAGCCCCTCCTTTCCTTCCCAGACTCCAACAACATGAATATTAGGTCTCTTTTGATCATGCCACGTGCCCAGGAAACTGTTATTTTTGTTTCATTCTGTATTCTCAATATGGCTTGTATTTGGTAATATATATTATTCTACTCTTCAGTTTGCTGGTTCTCTCCTCTGACCCTTCTCTGCTGCTGTGGAACCCGTCTAACGAGCTGTTTTGGTTTTTATATTTTTCAGCCCCCTAAATGTCCATTTGATTCTTTATATCTTGTATTTCTTTGCTGAGACTTTCTGGTTTTGATTCCCAAGGCTTTGTATATTTTCATTTGTATCAAGTGTGTTTGTAATTGCTCATGGAGCATATTTATCATGGCTGTGTTAAAACCATTATCAGATAATTTTACAACTTTGTCACCTCAGTGTCCTTGTTCTTTATCTTTTATCATTCAGTTTGAAATATTCCTGTCTCTTGGTTTGATTTTTCATTGAAACCTAGAGCAACCCAAAGTTAGAGTACAGATGGTGATGATCTGCCGAGATGCTGAATCTTATTTAAACCTACTTTTTCTCTTTTGACACTGTTCTCCGCTATTGCTCGGTCGAGGTAGAAGTCTTGATTTTCCACTTGGCGTTTGCTGATTCACAGAGTGGTAGCAGCTACTATTTGCTCTGGGTGGCAAATCAAGGTGATACGTGCTGCCCACTGACACTGGAGGGGGATGGCCTGCTCACTACTGGACTGGAGTCCTCCTCCCCTGACACCACCCAGCCAGGGAGAAGGTGTGTCTTTATGGCTAGGCTGGGTGGAAGTCCAGGCTTCTCCTCTGTTCTGTAATTTTAGGGGTTGGAGTAGGACGTTATTAATGGTTGTTGAAGATTAAAGTCTCTGCTCCCTACCTGGAATTCTCTGACACCCCAGGCCAGAGTATTGGGCCACCACATTACAGTCCCAAGACTGAACATCCAGGGGATTGGAAGCTGCTGTGTATGGGGGGGGCGGGGGTTGGCAGGCATGAGGTCCTCCTGTGTTGTAGCAGTAAGAGAGAATAGAATCCCCCATTGACGAGGTCAAGGTGGGGTATTAGATAAGCACATTATTTAGAGATGTGGAAGAAGTGGATCTGAATGGCCGATAAGAGTCGGAAGTGGCTGCTTTTGGAGGATGGAAGGAAGGAAAGTGGAGGGAGCTTCTGTTTTTCTTTTTTTTCCCCCTTATTTATTTATTTTGACAGAGTGGACAGCAAGAGAGAGAGAGAGAGAGAGAGAAAGGTCTTCCTTTTGCCATTGGTTCACCCTCCAATGGCTGGCGCATCGTGCTGATCCGAAGTCAGGAGCCAGGTGCTTCTCCTGGTCTCCCATGCAGGTGCAGGGCCCAAGCACTTGGGCCATCCTCCACTGCACTCCCGGGCCACAGCAGAGAGCTGGCCTGGAAGAGGGGCAACCGGGACAGATCCGGCGCCCTGACTGGGACTAGAACCTGGTGTGCTGGCACCGCAGGCAGAGGATTAGCCTAGTGAGCCGTGGCGCCAGCTGGGAACTTCTGTTTTTCCTAACACCACCTACTGGAGTATTTGACTCTCAAGTATTTGTACTACAGCTTTCATGGGAATTAAAAAAAATTGACAATGAATTAATAAAATCAGCTGTTCTTTTAAAGGAGCTGTCAGGTTAGGAAAGAGTGTCCCCATAGAGGAGGTAGGTGGGGGGATTATGGTAAACAGTGTGCAGTAAGGAGATGATTTCAACAAGCCAGGGAAGGAGCAACTGGGGCTTGAAGAGGAGCAGCAGACAGTGTGGCTGGGAAATGCAGGCCTGCCCACAGCCCTCTGAGTTCTATTTTGAGGATCCAAGGAAACCAGTGAATTGCTCTCTCCCATCTTGGTTTCCTCTACTTCAGATCATGGAACGAGCTCTATTCCACATGGACAACTGCTATAAAATCCCCAACATCCGGGGCACTGGGCGGCTGTGCAAGACCAACCTGCCCTCCAACACAGCCTTCCGGGGCTTTGGAGGGCCCCAGGGGATGCTCATTGCCGAGTACTGGATGAGTGAAGTCGCCACGACCTGTGGGCTGCCAGCAGAGGATGTAAGCTGGGAACCTGGTTCACGAGCCAGGGAGGGGTCAGCCGACACTGGGGGAAGCCTGGCTTTGTGTCTTGAGCGTCTCTCTTGGGCTGGGGGTGGGCAGATAGCTGGGAACCTGGTTCACGAGCCAGGGTGGGGTCAGCCGACACTGGGGGAAGCCTGGCTTTGTGTCTTGAGCGTCTCTCATGGGCTAGGGGTGGGCAGATGCTACCGAAGGGGCTGGAAACTCAACTTTAGGTTGTGATCCCCCATCCCGGTTTCTTGCCGCTGAAAAGGCTTCAATGTCTCTCTCCTTGGGAAGGTGCGGAGGAAGAACATGTACAAAGAAGGGGACCTGACACACTTCAACCAGAAGCTGGAGGGCTTCACCTTGCCCAGGTGCTGGGATGAATGCCTGGCAAGCTCTCAGTTTGAGGCGCGGAAGAGTGAGGTTGACAAGTTTAACAAGTAAGTTCTGAGGGTGGACGAGAAGCACGTGCTGGTGCCCCTGGGACTTCATGGTCTGAGGCTTCTCTGCTGAACCCCACACACGAAGCCAACACTCCAGTGTACAACAGACCCGGTTGGGTCTGCCAGCTTGTTCCTAGCCACCTGTTTATGACCTGGTAATGAACTTCAGCCTGGAGCAGGTGGGCTCAAGTCTGCCCTCAGTGCTGTGACCTATCACTCACGGTTTACTTGACACAGCTACGTGCCTTCTGGCAACAGCGTATTATATTTATTTTTCAATTGAGAGGTCGAAAAGAGAGGAGGAGGGAGGGCAGGAGGGAGGCAAGGGGTGAGAGAGAGAGAGAGAGAGAGAGAGGGAGAGAGAGAGAGAGAGAGAATATGAATGAATTCTGGCTCATTTCTCAAACATACACAGTAGCCAGGGCTGGGTCAGTCTAAAGCCAGGAACCTGGAACTCTGTACAGGTCTCCCACATGGGTGGCAAGACCTCAACCATTTGAGCCATCATCTCCTGCCTCCCAGGATTGCATTTGCCAGGAAACTAGGTTGGAAAAGAATAAATGGGCCACAAACCGGGCACGCCAAGAAGTGGCTTGCTCTCCTTTACCTCGATGTCTGCCTAGGACTCTGAACACCACAGATATGAAGCTGCCTCTGATGCTTATCTATAAACGTGAACTTGGTGGCCATCACCATCTTGTTGATAAGTCTCCCTGGAGTTTATCATCTGCACAGTGGGGATAGTGGTACTGACTCTCTTCACAGAATTGGAAAAAGTCAGACATAAAGCATTGTCTATTAGGAAGGCATAGCACAGTATCACAGCCCAAGATCACCAGAGCCCTCTGTCCCAGTCTGAATGCCACCCAGGGACGAAGGGTGGTGCTGCTTTAAAGCCTGGATTCCTGGGGATGGGAGGGCCCAGAACCCACACTCCCACCTTCCTTCTCCTTGTCTGCGCTTACTTGGTCACAACTCAGTATGTGCAGAACCAAAGATGTCCTGTCCTCTGATATGAAGATGTTGCCTGAGAGTATGTCCACTCTCACGTGAGGATGGTTGAGAAGCTTCCATGAGAATTATTCCTTTTTCTCCAGGGAGAATTGTTGGAAAAAGAGAGGACTGAGCATCATCCCAACCAAATTTGGAATAAGCTTCACGGTTCCTTTTCTGAATCAGGTATTTGCTTCCTGTGGCTTCACCCATCTTCACTGGCCTGGAGCCCCAGTTCCCCCAGTAACCGTATTGCAAAGGGAAATCTCCTTGACAGTGGTAACAGAGCTGACCGGAGGAGCCTTTGCTGGTTAAATGAGCTTTGAGCTTGCATGTCCCTTTTTGCACAGTATGTCACAGGACAGTGAGACTCCGAGAAATGGGTTAGTCTCTAGCTTTCTCCTCCTGCGTGTGGAACTGTGGCTCTCTGCTTTTCCATTTTACTTCTTCATCTGAAGACCCTTGACCTCCTTCCCTCTGGGGATGAGAGACAGAGAGAAAGGTGTGCAAACATGTTGTCAGTGACCGAAGGGTTGTAGAATCTAATCATGAAGTTCATTCAGATGTACCTTTTGTTAGGGGTTTGCATCCAAAACATTGCTGCTGGCTTTCTTTGTTCTCGGCTCCATGCCTTTGGTTGGATGCCTAAGCTGAGTCACAATTCACTGATTGTTTTGTCTGTCTTCCTCCTCTGGCTCTAGGCCGGAGCCCTGGTTCATGTGTACACGGATGGCTCTGTGCTCCTGACTCATGGGGGCACCGAAATGGGCCAAGGCCTTCACACCAAGATGGTGCAGGTAAGCAGCCCTCCGGGTGTCCCCTCCAGCACATGCTGTCTGTTGCGAGGGAAAATGCTGTGGGACTTTCCAGAAGCAGGAGTAGGTGTGGGATCTCCCCCGGCCCTGCCACTCATTCGCGTGCCGCCTTGGGCCAGTCTCCTCCCCGTATTGGCCTCAGTGTCCTTATCTGTAAAGGACTGGCCAGGAGACTTCCATCGCCAGCCCTCCAGGGCCCCATGGCTCTGCGTAGAAGGAGTTGGCTGCCACACTCCGCGAGACTCCTTCCAGTGGAATAGGATAACGAAGCTGGCCTAGAGTCAGTACATCTGTTTGGCTCATGAGCGCTGGCCAAATTGAAGCCAAGGTTAGCTTAAAAAGGCACTGTCACCAATTAAGTTTATGCATGTTTTATCTAACCAAATCACTCCGCAGAGTGCTGTTTCAGACTCAGCCAGATGTCCGGGTATCTTAGAATCAACAGGATTAGAACCTGCAAGATTATCTGCTTGCCCCTCTCAGTGAACCTGAATTCTGTCTTGGGGAGATGGTTAGCCAAGCCCCACGCTGACCCCTTCCCTAGAAGGTGCTGTCTTCTCTTTTCACAGGTGGCCAGCAGGGCCCTGAAGATTCCCACCTCCAAGATCTATATCAGCGAGACGAGCACCAGCACGGTGCCCAACACCTCTCCCACAGCGGCGTCCGTCAGCGCTGACATCAATGGACAGGCGGTCTATGTACGGAGCCCGTGGGAGCTGGCAGAGCAGAGGGCCTGGCGAGTCTCCCGGGCGGCTGCGGCAATGGTTCCTTTCAGCCTCTTTGGCCATAGCCTTGCCCTTGGCTCTCCTTCCTGGAGGATGCTAAAGGGGAGGCCCAAGAACCATAATTGCTTCCACCAAAGCCAAGAGGGATGAGGGAGGGAGGGGGAAGGGTTTTGGTGGGGGGAAGCAGGGGCTTCTGGGCAGGTACTCTTCCTGTTGTTGGAACTGGCCACAAGGGAGTGGATCACAACTGAAAATTGATGCTGGGATCTGCCTGGTCAGAGCCACTTGATGGGAGTCCTTCCAACATTTGGCCATGTCTCAGCCTAAGAGCTGGATGGGAAAATGTTCTCCCAACAAGGGCTGAAGTGCAGGGTAGTGTTTCTGCCATGGGCCTCCATGATTCCCGGGAGGGTGGCACCCTGGGTACAGCATTGCTTGGAGAGGACTGAGGCCCCGGCTTCGCCTGAGCCGTAGAGTGCAGAGGGCTGATGTGGGTGGCTGTATTTTCTGCAGGAGGCTTGTCAGACCATCCTGAAAAGGCTGGAACCCTTCAAGAAGAAGAATCCCAGTGGCTCCTGGGAAGACTGGGTGAGTCTGAGTTCCTCCAGGACACTTTGGAAGATGCACGGGCATCAAAAGCAAGGCTTCTGTCCTTACCCCCAACGAGGGTGAGGGCCAGCAATTCATCCCACCAAGAGAAGCCAGGTGGTCTGTATGATTTCACAGGACAAGGAATGCTGGGCCCTTCACTTCCAGGATCTCAATGGCTTTGTGGGACTTGGAGTTTTGGCTTCCCTGAGCCTCAGAGGAAGGATGACCACGGATGATGTGAGGTCTTGCTTCGCTTGGCACTTGTCCAGTGCCCCAGTTGTTGGACAGCCTGGATGAGCCTTGTCTTCAAACCTCTGCCCGTCCACAGGCTGCCCTGGCAGCCTCTGCTCTTACCAACCCTCAAACCTGGGTCTACTGAGAGAGCGTGACCATGCTTGAGAGAGCTTATAGCATCCCTGTGACTGTAGGATTGACGGGTGGAGTAAACACTCCACATAAAGATAAACCCGGTCCTCTAGATCAGAGGCCAGGAAGGGGCTGTTGGGTGGGAGACCACAGCACCTCCAGCAGGCAGAAATACCGGTGGTGCCCGTGTCCTTGACCCCCAGAGTTGGAATAGCCCTAACTGTAACACATAGGGTGTGACTTCATGGAAACCAGCTCAGGGGGCACGAGCAGCTCTCCCTAGCTTAAAGAAATAGCACTTCCACCAGATCCATGCATCTTCTGTGCCTCCCAGGACCTTATCTCCCCTTCCCACACTCACAGACATCAGGTGTGTAAATGCCTTAGGGATGCACTTGAGTGTGGTAATTTGGGTTTGGGGCATGGATTTGTCAGGCAAATTTAGTATCTTCACAGCAGCCTTGGTGGCAGTTTTGTGATGTTGGGCCTGTTGATCTGAGCTTTGCCCTCAACTCCCTTGTAAGCAGATAATCCCAATAAATCACCCACAGTATACCACCAAATCCACACCTACACATGATATGATGTGCCTAGTGCAGATCCCAGGCCAAAGTCTTTTTCGGGAAGCCTTGGTCTTCTCATCTGTAAAATGAATAGAACAGCGCAGATCTTACAGGGTTATAGTAAATACTAAGTAAGATAATGAATGCAAAGTGCTAATTAGCAATTGGTGCATAGTAATAAGCTTGATAATTGACAGTGACATTGATACAAATTATATTAAGGACATCTGAAAGCTCAGTGTTGTGTTCATGCTGGGGAGACCAAAAGGCCTGTTTTATAGTTAAAGAGGTGATGGACGGAGGGCTTTATCACTAGGAACCTGTAAGGCTCACGAGGTAAGTAGCTTGGGCACTGCAGAGAGTTCCTTTCATGATGGCTTGAGTAGGGCATCAGCATCAAGGACGGGCGATTGGAACAGTGAGTTCGAGCTGGTCACTGAGGAGTAACAAGGATTTGGATGAATACAGCAGAAGTGCATAGATGAAGGTGCAGTGGTGTGGGAACAAGGAAGGGTTGGGAGAGTTCCCAGCTGAGACTGGCCAGGGTGCTGATGGTGCGCGTTCTAGAAAGGGCCAGAGAGAGGACTGTGACACCCAGCCCCAGGCTCTGCTCCGTAGGTGATGGGGAGTCGCTGAACGCTCCAGGGCAGAGCAATGACGTGGGAAGCGCGGTTTGGTAAGAGGATCACTCCTGCTCTGCCGGGGAGCTGGCGGGGACAGGAAGTCTGGGCAAGAGGTGGAAATAGTACTCCAGGCTTCAGCTGCTGAGGCCGTGGTGCTGGCAGTGGCGATGGGAATGGGAGGTGAGGTATGGAAGTCTGAGTCATAGGAAAATGAGTTGATCAGCTTCCAGATAACGAGGCTGAACTCATGAAGGCTTGGTGGCAGGTCAGGGTATCTGGAAGCCACGCCTACCCCTCCCTGATGACCCTTTCTGTCTGCAGGTCACAGCTGCCTACCTGGATGCCGTGAGCTTGTCTGCTACTGGGTTTTATAAGTAAGTATGGGTCAGCTCTGGCCCATTCACTGCAGGATGTCAGCCTTAGCTCCCTGGTGCCTTCCAGCTCGACACCCGTCAGCCTGGGGTCAGGAGAGAGCAGGTGCACCGAGACGCTCATCTCTCCAGCAGACTTGTCCTGGTTTCAGCCTAGTGATGCCCTCAGATACGTGGCTTACCCAACTGTGTGCCAGGGGGCTAAAGCAGGAGTCAGCACTCTGAGGACCTCATTCTAGTTCTGGCCTCAGAGTGGACTCTCTGACAGGGGACAGTCAGTGGCGCCCTCTGATCCTGTTCTCACCTCCACCATCCCCGCCAGTCTCAGCGTTCCCCTGCAGGATCCAGGGGTGTTTGTTGATCTCATTCGGGCATTGCTATTACCTGTGTGCTGCTTTGTACTGTGCATTGCGTTCCTTTTTAAAAGTTTATTTATTTAATTGAAACAGAGAGGGAATGGAGAGGCAGAATGTTCTCCCATCTGGTTGTTCGTTCCCCAAAGGCCCACTATGGCCAGGGCTGGGTCAGTGCTGAAGCTGGGAACCAGAAACTCAATACAGGCCTTCCATATCGGGGACAGGGCCCTCACCACTTGAGCCATCACCGTTCCTGTCAAGGGTCTGAATTAGCAGGAAGTTGGAGTCAGAAGCCAGAGCTGGGTACCGAACCCAGTCACTCTGATGTGGGACGAAGACATCTTGACCGGTGTCTTAACCACTAGGCCAGACGTGTGCCCCTGCGCATTGCATTTCTTTAGAGAGGGTTTCTTTCACAGGAATGAAGGCCTTTTGCGCACGCAGTCTCATTGCAAGTTGCAGAAGATATGTGCTGTCTTCCAAATCACACTGCTAAGGAAGTTCCACTGCACCCTACGTTTGCAATGAGACTGCGTGTGCATATGGGCACCCATATGGCATGCCGGCACTGCAGGTGGCGGCTTTACCCACTATGCCACAGCAGAGGCCTCCTTCAGTACCTTATACAACTTCAATTTTTGCATAAACCATATGTATGTGTGTGTGTGTGTGTGCATGTGTGTATACTTACACCCCAGAGTTTATAATATCCTGTATCTCTGTGGCTTTTTGTATTACCACACAAAAACCATGTGAGGAACCAGCACTGTGGTATAGTGGGTAAAGCCTCCACCTGTAGTGCCAGCATCCCATATGGGCGCCTGTTCGAGTCCTGGCTGCTCCACTTCCAATCCGGCTCTCTGCTATGGCCTGGGAAAGCAGTGGAAAATGGCTCAAGTTCTTGGGCCCCTGCTCCCACGTGGGAGACCTGTAAGAAGCTCCTGGCTCTGGGCCACAGATCAGTGCAGCTCCGGCTGTTACTGCCAACTGGGGAGTGAACCAGTGGATGGAAGACCTCTCTTTCTCTCTCTTTCTCTGCTTCTCCTTCTCTCTCTGTGTGTAAGTCTGACTTTCATATAAATAAAATAAATCCTTAAAAAAATAACGTACTGAAGGACTAAAAAATGCAAAAAATATAGAAGGGACTATCTGTTTCTATTTATAACATTTTCCTCTAATCGTCTGTGGAAATTTCCACAGAGCAGAAGGTGGGGAGTGGTTGTTTCCAGGTGGCCCAGGCTGGTATGAGATATCAATCTCTTTAGCTTTCACCTTGACAAGGGCATCAGGTGAACTTGTGAGCACAGCCAAGCACTGTCACAGACAGCAGCTTTGCTTCCGGAGCCCCTGGATCCCAATTCAGTAGACCCTTCATGTGCGATTTCTGTGAGTTCAGGCGAATCTGTCTGCCGATACTTAACACTGCTGGGCTGGGTAGGATGACAGGGTGAAGACCATTGGCAAAACAGCAGAAACAGGAGACGAAATGCTCTTGGTTACTTGAGTTTCACAGACAGGCTCAAAATCTCCCAAACACAGGTTTTTTTTTTTTTTTTTTCTTACCTGCGATCTACCAAATGAAAAAATAAAACCTTCGAGGTATACAGATTGTGGTGGACACCCGCGTGTCTGCGGGGAAGAGGTGTGTTTATCTTACTAAGCACGCAGTATCCTCCGTTCTCTTCCAGAACACCCAACCTGGGCTACAGCTTTGAGACAAACTCGGGGAATCCCTTCCACTACTTCACCTATGGGGTGGCCTGCTCGGAAGTGGAAATTGACTGCTTAACAGGAGATCATAAGGTGAGAAGTTCGCTAAGCGTTCATTCTGCAGGGAAAAAGGGAAGCGAAACCATGAAGAGCAGGTGGAGACAGACTTTGCAGTTGGGAAAATACTGCTTCACATCCGGCCCAGTCCCACGGTCCATGAAAGGTGAGAGAGGAGTATTTGAGGCTTTATAGGTCGCACGGAATCTGCCTCAGCTCTGCTGTGTTGTGTGAAAGCAGCTATAAACAGGCAACTTCAATAACAGTTCATGGAGTTAAAAGCTAACTTGATTTTGGTACCAAAAAAATTGAAATCATATGCACAAATGAGCATAGCTGTTGTCCAATCAAATGTTTTTGAGGGACCCTGAAATTTGAATTTCATATGGTTCTTCCTTGTCACAAAATATGCTTTTTATTTTTTCCCGTCATTTAATAATGTAATTGTTAATGTTTAGACCCCACGGAAAGGGAGGGACAGGCTGGAGTCAGCCCACAGAGAGTATCTGGCAGACTCCTTTCTTACATGATCTGTGCAGGCTCCCCAGGTCTGCGAACCGGCTCTGCTGCTCACACAGAGTATGCGCAGCTCTCTCTGGTGATCCGGAGGTCATGGCTGCTTCCCAGCCCCACCCAGCTGCCGAGAACTCAGACCTCAGCTGCGAGACAGCCGCACAAGCAGGGCGGGAACGCTGTCACTTCTGCCTGAGCGTGCCCAGCTCACTGCTGCTGCTGGGTTCTGTTCCGGCCAGACCTATGGTCTCAGGGCCGCCAAGGCCCATCTGTGTTATTCCACAGACCTCTGTCATCTCAAACTGCTTCCGTTTCACCATTCACTTTAGAACCTCCGCACCGACATCGTCATGGACGTTGGCTCCAGTCTGAACCCTGCCATTGACATTGGACAGGTAAGGCTCCTGGGGCATCAGGGCAGTGATGGACTTGGCCGCTGATGTGCCCCCAGCAACTCCCCACCCACAGCATGTTGGCCTCGTGTCATTTCTCAGCAGGCCAGGATGTGGTACCTGCGGAGTCTCCCCCAGAGCGGGATTTCGATTTAGGGCATTCACACCTCGGGGAACAAGGTGACAAATGTGAAAGTGAGAAGGCACACATGGGTGGGTGTGTGTGTGCACATGAACTCCCACGCATGGTTGGAGAAGGAGAATGATTGACAGAGAGTGGAGCTTGCATTTGCAGTCAATGCCTTGGCAGTGGGGTCAGAAGAGTTGTTTCTCTACTCAAGCCTCATCCACCCAGGATCGCTTTTGTACTCCAGGAAGTAAATGCTCCCCAGCCTGGTGGAGAGCCCTGGGGGGGCTCAGCCACCAGGAGTGAAGGGATGGACCAAGGAAGACTGCTTTGGGGAAATAGAGAACCACTGGGCAGCAGGGAAAGGCAGAGGGGGATTCCAGAGTTGAAGTACTGGGCAGCAGGTAGAAAACATGAAGTTTTTTTTCTCGAAAATGGACCATTACCAGGCCTTGAGGAATCCGTCATCTGTCAATCTTCTCATTCACCCACTGAACAACTTTTCAGGGTGACCCTGCTTTGGGCAAGGCCCACACGAGGCACCACAGATTCGAAGGTGATTAACACCTGGTCTCTCCCCCAGTCCTTGTTTGGCCACCGTGGTGTCCCGCGTCCCTGTTCTGAGCAAGGAGGCTGGAGGAGCAGATATGTGGGCCAGCACAGCAGGGGCAGGTGCTTTAAAGGGACCTGGAAGGTTCGGCAGGGGAACTGGCTCCCTGAGGACAAGCAGGTGTGCAGAAGCCACCATCCAAGGGACACCTCCTCTGTCAGCTCACGTCTCAGCTGTGGGCCACCACTTGCCCTGTGGCAGCATGCAGGGAGTGTCTCCATAGGCACCATGGCAGGTTGTCACAGGGAGTTGGCCTACCCCTGTGTGAGCTCCTCGGATTGTTGACAAGTTCTGAAACTGACTTCAGTGCCAGCACCTTCACTCAGCCAGAGTCAGAGCCTGGCCAGAGAGGCTGTGCTGGGCTGGGGCTTCCTCCCAGGCCCTGCTGCAGGCAGCAAGTGGGTAACCATGGTCCCTCTCTGTCCTGCAGGTGGAGGGGGCTTTCGTCCAGGGCCTGGGCCTCTTCACCCTGGAGGAGCTGCACTACTCCCCCGAGGGGAGCCTGCATACCCGTGGGCCCAGCACCTACAAGATCCCTGCCTTTGGCAGCATCCCCATTGAGTTCCGGGTGTCCCTGCTCCGTGACTGCCCCAACAAGAAAGCCATCTACGCTTCCAAGGTACTGTAGCTCTGGGTCTGTGCTGCCTTCTAAGCTGTATGGTGCGGCTGGGTCTGCAAGGGCTCATCGTAAAGAGTGAAGAAGGCTTGACCTTGGCCTTGGTGAGGGCAGGAAAGGGTCTGAGAACCAGTTCAGCTGGATTGAGGACACCAACCTAGTATGTGCTGCAGCTGGCTTCTTTGGTCCCTTTGTCACATCCAGGAGGTCAAATCCAGACCAACGCCCCCGTCTCAGGCATGCATGCCTCACGCTCGATCCTCAGAGAGGACTTGCCAGGTCTGGCGTCCCCATGGTTCCGTGAGACTCGGTATCTTTGCTGTGTCTGAGAGCATTGCCTCTGTGCTTCTTCGGTCGCTGAGACCTTAGGACTGGATCACAGTGCCTGTAGGATTGCGGGTGACTGTCCTGCTTCCTCCTTGTCCCATTCAGTATGAAGATGTGGTGGAGAATTCATTCTGTGGTGGTGTAGTTCTAGTTGTAAGGAGCACAAAGCGCCGGTTGTACCCAATGAAATGCCCTTTTGCTCATCTCCTGGTTGACTTAGTGTTGGGTGAGCGGCAGGTCTGGGATGCATTGTGACCCTTTGGGGCACACCGTCCAGTGCAATGCAATCCACGGGGTTCATGCTAAAACGCACTGCCGTGCAGTCCCTCCCCACCAAGAAATGTTGATTGAATAGGTCTAGGGTAAGCACTGGAAAACACCTTTTGAAAAAGTCTATTTAGTGATTCGGAAGCAGGTGGTCTCTGAGCCATGGTTTTGGGGCGATGGACAAGCCCTGTCCCAGAGAGCCGTAGAGTGCTTCAATTCCTCTCTGTTGCTGTGCCTGGAATCCCAGCAGATGTCGCAAATACAGGTCCAGTGCCTGTAGGTGTGAGTCAGAGCTGCGAGCTGATTGTTCTGGGTTAGTGGCTGGGTTAGTGGCTGTGAGCAAAGGGTTAAGACTCGTGGCAGATCTGGGGGTTTATAAAATAGGATCCCTTACTAGAACAATAGAGCACTTAGTAGCACATCATGTTTGCATGGTGTCTTCTGAGAAAATGACACCGGGAGAGGTAAGGAAATACGCCCACGGGGTCCAGTCATTCACAGGCTCCGTTGCTGCCAGCCGCTGACGAATTTTCACTGCTCCTTCCTGCTGTACTTGTTAGTGCTGGGGCGGTACTTGTCTCTGATGACGTCACTGGTCCCCCTGGTGCAGGCTTGCTGCCCAGCGCCCTGGGTCTGCACAGCAACGTGAAAGTGGGGCTGCTCCATCTGATGCCCTGGTCCATGCTCTGTCTGCTCAGGCTGTCGGTGAGCCGCCCCTCTTCCTGGCCGCCTCCATCTTCTTCGCCATCAAGGACGCCATCCGCGCAGCACGAAGCCAGCACACAGATTACAACACGAAGCCGCTCTTCCGGCTGGACAGCCCTGCCACCCCGGAGAAGATCCGCAATGCCTGTGTGGACCAGTTCACCACCCTGGTAGGACGTCCCCTCGAGTGCCCGTGCACCTGGGGCAGCCAGGGGCCAGATGCCCATTACAGGGGCAGGTTCCACGGAGGCGTGGGAAATGGGGCTGTCCCTCAATCAGGCGGCCTGGGGTCAAAGAGTGTCCTTGGCTGTGCATTTGCAAGAGAACAATGAGAACCCAGAACCCCCCTGGAGGCAGCTAATAGCTGGGTCCTGTTAGAGACAGGAGGAACATGGGGTGTAGTTGTCACCCACAGATGTTGCCTTTGCCCAGCTGGGTACTGGTGATGGGTAAAACTCCAGAAGAGCTTAATCTTCATCACCTGTCCCTGGTTTTTGGGAGCCTTCTTTGTTAAGGATACAATGTGAGGGTGCGTGGAGGTGGAAGGAAAAAGAGGAAGTCATTAATGATCTCAGCCATGGTTGTTCTAGGATTACCATGTGCCACGCTGACCCTGGGGACATGTAGGTGCCCTCTGGGGAGACCAGATGATTGTTATGTGGTGCTCAGTAACCACCTTGGAGGTGTGGGTAGCAAAAGATGGCAGAGAAAGTCCATGGTCATTACTGTTGGAAGCCCCATGGGTTGTGTCTAGGGGATGGAGCTGGCAAGGAAGGCCATGTCCGGCAGCTCCTTTGCTTCTCTCTTGCTGGGATCTCAGAACCAGCTGAGCCTCTGACTTTGTGTGGGCACTGTGCCCACACAGCTCTCCGGGAGCCCCTGCTACTCCCTTTGCTCTGTCAGGCCGGCAGGAGCAGCCTCTTCTTGACACACACGCTGGGTTTACTCCTCATGACATTTGCTGGGTTTTTAGGGTTCACAGGTAGAGTGGATACGCATGCTCCAGGCATGGGGAGGGTGGTGGGCAGCCCCCAGGGCCGGCAAATCTGCCACCCTGGACCTCAGCAGCGAGGGTGAAGGGGGCACGTGGGTCCCCAGTCAGGCCACATAACTGGGAGGGGAGAACTACACAGACCACGTGTGGCACTCCTGGGAAGTGGAAACATAGATACTTCCCACCACGGTCCCCAGTGCTACCAGTGACCCCTTCCCAGTGCTACGTGCCTCCCAGCGAGCTACACAGCTTGCAGGGACAGCTCCTGGCCAGCGAGCCGAGGCCGAATGCAGTCATTTCCAAAGGGCCTCAGAGGGCTCGTGGCTGCGTCACCACACTCCAGCAATTTAAAATCCCTGCAGCGGGTTGAGCTGCGCAGCCAACTCCACGAGCCAGCCCTGACTTCGCTGGCCTCTAAGAAGGGACCGCTTCTCTCTCGTTCAGCGTGGTATCTCCAGAGCCTCCAAGGGCGGCTGCCCCACGCCCAGCGCTCAGTTCCAATAAGTGAATGATTTGGGAAATGACGGGGTCGGGCCCTGGAGCGTTCCACGCCTGGGACCACTGGAATGGTGGGAGGTGGCCCCGGTGTGCCAGGGTGGGGTAGGACCCCCGGAGGAGCCTGCCAATGAGGACTCTGTTATTTCTTCCTAGTGTGTCACTGGGGAAGTGGAAAACTGCAAACCCTGGGCTCAGAGGGTCTGAGGACAAGTCCCCAGTGGCGTGTTCTCCTGCTCCGGGGGGGGTGTCCCCGTGCCGCAGAGCATGGGCCTCTGGAAGCTGCAGGATGACAAGGCTGTGACGCAGCAAGACAGCATTTGGAAGCAAATGGAATGCTCTGGAAGCTATTGATTGACAAAGATGATTTGCAAATACAATGAGAAGAAAATTCAGAACTGTGGGGCCCATGAGGCCAACAGGCCACTGAGGTCCTCGCTGTTTTCATCCTGCATTTGGACTAGGTTTTGGCAGTGTTTGTACCACGTCCCCACTCGCTGGACAGCCTGTGTGTGCAACCTCCCTTGTCGCCAGTGTCTCAGTCCTTCAAGGACTGCCACAAACCTCCGAAGCTTAAGCCCAAGTCACTATAAATCTGTGTGCCTCCCTCAGGCATCCTTGCAAACCAGTCCACGTCATGGTCCAACCTCAGAGCCGTCCTCCAGTTTTGCAATGAAGCAGCAGGGGTGAGACAAAACCTCTGACCACTTCTGTGTCATTGGAGAGAATGAAGAATGAAAGAAGTTCAAGGTTAACTGGAGCCAATTTTATTAAGCTGCATAAAGTATGATTGCTCCCTAACGCAAAAATGCAACCAAGGCAATTATGGAGCACCTACAGTGTACTAGATTTCCTCCCCTGTCCTCTCTGTGTATTGTAAAAAAGAAAAACGATGGAGTGTATGAATCGTCTTTACACCCAGATTAATCTAGTGTCGCTATCAGGGAGCCTGGGTTCTCATCCCAGCTCTGCCTCGGCCTGCCTGACCTTGGACTGTCACCCCCCTTCCAGTGCTCCATTTTACTGCAGAACGAAAGGATTGGAGCAGAGGAATCGCTAAGATCTTCTCCCGCTCTCGAAGTCTATAAATACACGGCCTGAAAATTCCGGTTACATAAGGGATCTGCAGCCATCAAAGACTTGGCTCCTGGCCTCTTGTGCAATAGCTGGGCCTCACACACTCTGCTTAGATGCCTTCCAGTCTCTGCAGCTGGGATGGCGAACAGGAGGAAAACAAACACCCCCTCTGTTGCTCTGGGCAATGTCACCCCAGCATGGCTCTGGTGGGTGGTGGGACACTGCCATGTGCCCCCATAGTATGAAACACTCAACCTGTCACAGTCCCTGGGTTGGGCCACAGAGCTAGGATGGCAGAGACTCTGAGTGAGTGGGGCTTGACACCACTAATAAATGAACTCCCTGCTGTTGCTATGTGAGAAGTGCTTGTTCATTATCACAGTCACACTGAATTGCTAGCATCTCCCACACATCCTCAAAACTACATGCACCAAACACTCATTCCCCTTCTGCCCTCGTGAGCTCCCCTTCTTCAGAATATTTGAGATACACTGGTCTTTACAGCCTGGTTAAGACCACAGAACTTTAAAAGCCAAACACTGAGAGGCCGGTGCTGTGGCGTAGCAGGTAAAGCTGCCACCCATGCTGCCAGCATCCCATATGGGCTCCACTTCAAGTCCTGGCTGCTCCACTTCCCATCCAGCTCCCTACTGATGTGCCTGGGAAAAACAGGGAAAGATGGCACTAGTGCTGGGCCCCTGCCACCCAAGTGGGAGACCTGGAAGAAGCTCCTGGCTCCTGGCTTCAGCTTGGCCCAGCCCTGGCCTTTGAGGCTATCTGGGGAGTGAACCAGCAAATGAGACTCTCTCTCTCCCTCCCTCCTCCTCCCCCGCCCCCCGTAGCTCTTTCAAATAAATAACTAGATCTTTAAAAAAAAGTCAAATGTCAAGATCCACGCAGGTCCATTTCGGATGATTTTCTGGGACATTCTGGGCAGGGTCTGCCCCTTGTCGCTTACTAGTGGGGCTCTCTCAGAATCCCTGTCAGGGCCTAGGTACCACGGTGGAAGCAGAGTGGGCATGGAGAGCCAGCGAGCCAGTGCTGTGTGACCGGGAAGTCCGTGTGTTGCTCTGAGGCACCGCTCAACCCCTTTGCCTTGATCTGAAAAAGAAAGAAAGGGAGAAGGGGGGCCGGGTCCTCTGGGGCCGCACAATGCACGCCGCCTGCAGTGTGGCACCATGGCCGGCAGAGGGCGGTAGGAGACTGCCCACAGCACCGTGCCAGAAGCCGGTCATTGAGCATCTCAGGGACCAAACGTCCTCAGAGGTCGCGCCCAGCTGGATTCCGAGCCGACTTAGGGGTTTACCGGGAGGATAATCTCCTCAAAGGGGCTCTCGAGTCATGGCCGGCTGCGGGAGTGTGCGCTGGCAGGGGAAGGCGAGTCTGCGTTCTGAGCACCTGTCACTTGCCAGCTGCCACATTTATACCTTACCTACAGGGTCTCATTGCTGCGCCGGAAAGACAAGCCTTACCGCGCCCGGCCTGGGGCTCCGTCGGGGGTGGCTCGCAGGCATCTCAGGCTGGCCTCCTGTCAGGTGTGTTCTCACCATGGCCGAGCTGCAGACCTGGTGTGGTGCAGCCAAGGAGCCCAATCCTACTGCAGGGCAAGGGGGGCCGGGTGGCCAGGGCGGAGGTCGGAGGAGGAACCCCGGGGGGCGAGGGGTAGGGACAGAAATAGTTCTTTCTGATGGATTTATGGCTAGGAACATCCCTGCGCCAGGGCTATTTTTATCTGTAGCTGTGGGGAGCCTGGAAACCCAGCCAGGTGCTGCCTCTCTTGGACCCTGGCACAAGGCCTTGCGTAACACGCAGTTTCCTCGGACAGGAGAGGCCTCGGTCTGCCCTGTGCTCCCAGGCCCGGCGGGGGCCGGCCCCTGGGTCCCTGTCCTAAAGTGCAGGACAGCCTGTCCCTGAGGTAGGAGACAACGCCTGTGATGAGCTTGTCCCCGTGAGACAAAGCAGCCGTCTACAGGAGTGACACTGTCAGGCGTTGCCCAGGGCACTTCTGGCGTCATCGCTGCCCTTGAACTGGCCTGACCCTGGCCCCCGGAACCAGCTCAGCATCCCACAGCCACAAAGACCTTGGGGACTTCGGACTCAGTGCCTCTGTTTCAGAGACGAGAAATACAAGCCCTGAGCTCAGTCTGGCTTCAGGGCAGCTGGCTCCAGTGTGGCCAGGACTTGTCTAGGCTGTCTAGACAATGGCAGAGGCCGGCTCACTGGCCACACTGGCCGGCTCCCGGTCCAGGCTAGATAAATGAGACAGTGCACCACTAGTCTGCACCCTTGGGGTCAGAGGGCTGGAGAATGTGCTAGGAACCTGTTTATGCTGCTTAGGAAGGAGGCATGGTGCACTTGGGGGTCCGAGAAGCACCAAGGCAGGCAGGGCCAGTGCCTGGGCTCCCACCCAAAGTGGACCCTTCTCCGAGCCCCGCAGGAAGGGACAAAGCAGCAACACAACAGCCCCACATCCCAGTGTGAGGTTCCCTGCCCTGCATACAGAGGAGCCGGCTACAAGTTGATTTTGCCACCTCCTGTAGATCATTCCCAACTTGGGGACCTAAAGGATGGAAGTGTGGGGTTGGAAAGATGGAGATAGTGGTTTTCCTTGGAGAGAGCAAGCTGAACACCCCCCTGCCAAAGTGCAGGGGGTGGGGGAGAGAAGGGGACCCACTCAGAGACACAGACCCTGGGGTTGTCTTGGGAAGCTGTGGGTGGATAAGCCCAAGGCACTGGGGAAGTGAGAGGAAGGGGGCGAGAGAGCTGCTCTTCCTGCAGAGGCAGGCCAAGGCCACCCGCGAGGCCACTCAAGAAGACTGCCTGCAGGGGGCGATGTAACCCAACAGGGGAGAGGACTCTGATGCCCTAGTGCTCGCTCCAGAGTGGCCATGAGAAACCCACACACACCCTTGCTCTGCCTCCTCTCTTCCAGGCTGAGCCCACCTGCCCCCAGCCCCACTGCCCCTTTGTAGTAGGGAGGAAGGCAGTGAGCTCTCTGCTGTGCCTCTCTGACTGCCTGCGAGGGAGACCAATGCTGGGGGCAGGTGTGTGTGTGTGTGTGTGTGTGTGTGTGTGTGTGGACACTCAGGCTGCTTCCCTGTGCCTTGGTGCCCCTCATCAAGCTGGGAAGACCCTAGCCCAGCACCGAGAGCTGAGTGCCATGGGGCTTGCTCTTCTCCCCTCCCCCCTCCCCACCTGGCCCTGTTGGCAGGTGCTGCTCATCTCTGAGTGCTCCACAAATGGAGCACGGCTGTGCAGTGCTCCGTGCTCCTCTCCCACTCTGCTGTGCCTTCGCAGGGCCCGCCTGGCTGCTGACATCCTCGTGGGGCCCCAGCTTTCCTCTCTTCCCACCCGGGCTGGATGGGTCCTTGCCCTGGGGCAGCAGCACACAGCATGCCTCGGCCCGCTCGTGGCTGGTAGGGGTCAGGGGCACCAAGGTAAGTCCCTCTGTGTCTTCTCCTCTTCCCTCCTCTCTTTTGTCCAAGTCCCTTGGCTGCTCTGAACTCAGTCTGAGCATCTTCAGGACAGGCATGGCTGATCACGCCTCCTTGCTGTTGGGCTGCCGTGGAGGTGCAAGGGGTTAGGAGGCGCTTTGTAGAGGGCAGTGCTATCCACATTGCCAGGCCTTTGGCCACGCCTTATGGGAGAAAGGCTGCTGGGTGAGGGTGGAAAGGGAAAGTGCAAGAATGCATCAAACTGTCCACAGTGGGAGGGGTGGGGTGATGGGGAGCAGGCAGTGTGCACACAGCTGTGGCCTTAGACCAGGTAAGACCAATTCATCATATGAGGGTCCTTCACAAAGTTCATGGAAAATGAATGAAAGCTAAGTATACTTTGGTGCAAAAACAACAAAATTCTGAAACCCATGCAAATGAGTATTCTGTCATGGCACAAAGGATCCAAGTGATTGCGTTCCGTGGCTCAGCGGCTCGTGCTAATGTGTTTCTCCCAGCTCCCTGGGCTGGGGAGCAGGGATGGCTCCCAACAACCCATAGCTGAGGAGGAGGCGCAGAGAGGCTGGGGGAAAGAGCCCATCATCCTCGCTCAGCCACCTGCCTTCGGAAGCCCTTATCAAAAGTGCAGCAGGAGAAGGTGACTCTGCTGTTACCCATGCTACTTCTCTCATCTGATGGTGGCAATGGCATCCTTTTTTTAAAAAAAAATATTTATTTTATTTATTTGAAAGGCAAAGTTACACAGAGGCAGAGAAAGAGAGAGACAGAGAAAGTCTTCCATCTGCTGGTTCACTCTCCAGATGGCCACAGCGGCTGGAGCAGTGCTGATCCAATCCAAAGCCA